TACTGCCAAACGCCGCCGTCCGGATGGCGGTTCCGGTCACGAGTTCCTGACCGGAACACTACTCTATATATATTATAAATAAATAAAAAATTCTACAGGGGCTGGTGCACCCCCCAAGCTCATAGCTACTTCCGCCACTGAGCATGTAGCGTAATGATAGAGCTCGTCTTTCTCCAGAACCACCTCTGTGCTAGGAAGAGTTTTGTGGAAAGGTTTAATTCAATTTTATTTTATCTGAAGTAATATTTACCTTTATTTTAGTCTGAGTATGTTTGGTTTGGAAATTTGGATTTATGAAGATCTTGTGATAGACATTGTTTCTGTTCGACTGTTTTAGGATTAGATGTGTCTGTTTCGTACTTAGCAAATCAAGTTACTTTGTGACAACCTCAATTTCCCACAAATGAAAATTTCCAAGATAAAAAGTAAATAGATAAAACTTTATTAAAAAAATATAATAATAATAATAATATAAACTAACCTTCGTAATACACAAAAAAATATGAAAATTGATTTTTTCCACATGTAATTTTTTTGGAAACTTGCTCATAAAAGAACTAAAAAAATTAAACAATTAAATCTAAAATAGCTAAATGAGTGACACCCATTCATCACCATGCATATCCAACAAATTCTAAAGACACTTGGCATACCAAATCGAAAAGAAAACAAACTATGCCTCCATGCATCATGTGATATATACAAACAGATGCATTTCAATTATATGCATGCAATTGAATCAAAATAAACCACCGAGGGGTAGAGGCTAAGATGGAAAGGTGAGCTCCTACCACACTTATGAAAAAAATCCTTACATGAGTGATTAAAAAGTTGAATAAAAAGTGAGGTGGAAAAATTTAGACTTTGTGGAATAAAAGAGAGGGGCATCAAATTAAAGAAAGGAATGGAGGATAGCAGGTTAGAAAATGGATCAAGGATAGGATAAGGGGAAAATCATGTAATAAATCATTAGTATGACATACTAATATATGTCATTAGTATTAGTAATTCGTAGATATACAGTTGAATAATAAATCATTACTTGCTTAAGTAAAAGTGCATCGAAGTTATGTATAAAAGCACTTTAAAAAATATGAGTGTTATACTCGCCATATTAACTACTCAGCAATTTATATTTTAAAATAATAATAAATCATTTTGGGAATTACCTAGCTAGATATATGATACGCAGTACAATTTGATATTTTAATAAGATTGATTATTATCTAATAATTCATAATGATAACAAGATACGGTCAAACCTACACACACATAATATTCACAATTGCCTATATATGTTTTAAAAATAAGCAATGACTTAAGGTTCATATATACGAGATATTAATTAGTTATGGTTTTACCTCATATGTACACTTTATATTATAATCCGATACTAGTTTTTAATTGTAAGTTATTTATATATTAGATTTGGAAACTTTATATGTTATAAATATACTTTGTCTATCTTGGTAGATTTCAAAAGATAAAATTTATACGGCACATGTAAACTACTACATGCAAATCTGAAAATTTTACATAAAGAAAAAATAAGTTGATTTATAGAAACTTTTGATATGATTCAGTTAGGGAGTGAGTTTAATCAAATAATTTAGTTCTCAAAATATAAAAAAACACATACAACAGTATCGGATCCTAAGAGAATGAATAAATTAAAATGGGAATTTGAAACTTTACTTTGGATTGGATAGGTTTGCAACTTTGCATGCCAATAGGGATAGTTAATACGGCCGTAGAATTTAATCGATTAATTACGGGTCCACAGCCACGGAGTGGACAGTACACGAATTATGACGTTAAATTATGGGTCCGCAGCTACAGAGTGGACAATACCCAAATCTTAAACATTGATCGTTTAGGGTCCGCAGCCACGGAGTGGACAGTACCCAAACGAAAGGCCTGACCCACACAACGGTCAGTGCCGATACTACTCAGATGGTCCGCAGCCACAGAGTGGACAATACCAGACGAGGAATGTCCCGTTTATCCAGACCATTAAACTAAGGAGTAATAATTCTGAAGATAAGCAATGTATAAAAATCTGAAAATGCAAATTGAGAATAAATTGGAATGGTACATTGAAAAGTGAAAAAAATGTTAAGAGCAAATAAAAGGAGTACATTTTAATTTGTGATACTATATTTTCTGAAATATTTGAAAAAAAATTACCGTGGCTAAATTGTGCTATCATTTTTGCTGATTTATTTTTAAGCTACATTATAAATGTAGAAAGTTGAATTTTCAAGCTCGGAATTAAAAGCTGCTTTCGTATTATATTGTTACAAATTATGTTAGTTTATTGTTGCAATTTTTATATGAGAAAGAATGAACACCACTAAGCAAGTTTTGCTTAGCGCATTGGATTTTTGTCCTTCGTGTAGGTCAATAAGCGTTACGAGGCGGAACTCAAGTCGGGATGCATTTGGGAGCCGCAGCCAATCATCAAAGAGTCACATCTGCACAGTAGTAATAATCCATCTCTAGATGCATAATAAGTGCTCATTTAGCATATTAGTGTGTGAAATAAATAAAATGAGAAGGTTTAATTTTCATGGATGTATTTGGTTATTCCAAAATCTAGAACTACATGTTGTGTAATATATTTATGCTTTCGCAATTTATGGACTTTGATAAATTCTGTTATTTTTCTCATTTAAAATCAACTAAAAGTATAAATAAAGGAATAATTAGTTAGCGCTTTGGTGGTCCGGCACTGCGGGTAGCACTCCATGCTCAGTCGTCTGGGCCGGGTAGGGGGTGTTACATGCTTTGTATGATGAAGTGATTGATTCTATATATATTCTTACAATTGGCTCTATCGTAACTATTTGGAGGTTGTCTTGTACTACGTACTACCTTCGTCCCGGTGGACTTTGCCAAGTGCAAAGTAGGTGAGAAATAAGAATAGTAAAAACTGTGTGGTTGAGATTTGTGCAGAGGAGAGAGAAATGTGCAGAATCACACATTAGTTGTTTTAATAGAAAAGTGGAAAATGTTTTTGGGACAACCAAAAAAGGAAAGTTGGCAAAGTCCAATGAGACGGAGGGAGTATGATTTTTCGATATTAATGAATATAAAAAGACCATATCGTTACGACATTATCGAGCAACGATATAACATTATGAATGTTACACGAAGTATATATTACTCCCTCCGTCCCTGAATTAAGTTACCACTTTCCTTTTTGGATAGTCCCAAAATTAAATTCACACTTCTAATTTAGGAAAGTTTTTATATTGAAATCTCTATTTTACCCTCACAGCCCTCACCCGCCTAACTCTTTACTTACCCCACTCTACCGCCCTATCTTTCAATCACTTCACCTCATCTCTCTCTCTCTCTCTCTCTCTCTCTCTCTCTCTCTCTCTCTCTCTCTCTCTCTGTCTGTCTCAGACACTTCGTCTCCCTCAACCGTTCGTCTCCTTCATCTCACCGTAATCACCTCTCATCTCTTCTTCTTCTGTAATCGCCAAATCGTTCACCTCATCTTTCTCTTTTCATACTCCATGCAACCCCCTTCACCCTCCTCCTTTGATTTGCGAGACGAGAAATATTCATCCCCCCGGATGAACCCTAATCACCTGCAAACCATGAAATTCGTTGCAATTTCAGATGTGAAATCATCACTCGATTCACATCTCGAACATGCAACCCCTTGCGAAGCTAAATCAGTCCCAGCTCTAAAATACCCCAAGTATGATAGAGTTCACTTCGGTGATACGAGTTCAGAAGAAACAGATCCTTATTGGAAAATCCGCAAGAGGTATGGGGACAACCTCGTAAGTGATACGTACGAAGGGTTGGATGGCATGGAGGATGAAGGAGAGGAGGTTGACTCCCCGGCGTGGCTAGTGAAGCCTCCAACGGCTGAGGACGCTGAGACAAAAAGTGTTGGTGACTCTGAGAAGGTCCCTCGGTGAACGAGACTCTTCAGAGGAGAGTAATTTTCTATGACCTCTTATTTTTCCCCTTTATTTGATATTGTTATGTGGCCTATTCTTTGTATGTGGATAATGATAATTGTGCATGACCGTTACCTGATGAGTGTGGATAACTGATGATGTTAAAGGGATTTAAATTTTGTGTTATGTGAACTATGTGTGCATACATTGTACTTATGCAACCCGTTTGTGTAAGGTGTAGGATGCCTTGTTTTTACATTTGCATTGTGGGGGTGAGGTCTGTGTGTGCATTTCATGGGCATTATAGGGTGGCATTTGAATTGTTGAATTGCATTGGTTCCACAAGTCATGTGCATATAACAATCTTGTGCTAACTAAAAGATGGCTTGTACATAAAAAAATTGTACTTTAAACCTTCCTAGAGTACATACAAAAACAGCACACCACAATTTAACATTGGTGTACTAACAAAACATGCCCCTGACATAATAGTTCATGGTTGAAGATTAGAGGAATCTTCAGCTATGAACTCATAGTCCAATGAGTTCTGACCGTGATGTGTACTTGTTGTGTTACTTCCCATTTGTGCTGTCAGTATTTGTACTCTATTTACGCTCAGTAATTGTACTCTATTTACTAGTTGAGCTATGCCTGCTAGCAGAAATTACTTTCTAATGCTCCGTATTAGACCTTCATAGACGAAAATCTTTCTGAATCTTCATAGAATATCTTGAGAAATGCTAAAGATACCTCAAAATGGTACCCATTTTTACCCACCACTTAAATGCGTTGCCCTATTTATGCCACACATCAGGCAATCAAATACCCATTTTGGCTATTTAACATCAAAAAAACCTTTTGTACACACTCTTATACACATTTTTGTACACACCTATGTTTGTGAAAGGTTTTTTTTTTGTCTGTGAGCATCGACTCACATACAATATTTTGCACAAACAAAATATTGTCTGTGAACCGGATTCACAGACAAAAAAGTTTCACAAACATGATGTGTATAAGGTGTGTAAAAGAGTGTGTACATCACGCAATTTTGATTTAACATTTCTCTTTTCCATTTGCCAAACTACCATAGAGGATGTAGTCATTGTCAATGAGTACTATTCCGTAATAACAGAATTTTGCCTGGTTTCAAAAAAACATTAGTTGTGGCAGATGTAGTCGGTAGATTGTTGAAGATTGGAAAAAACGTATCCAACAAAATCCTCCGGGGCTCTAACAATTCTGTGCATTCTTTAATAGAGAAGACAATAATTATAGAAATCTTTGTTTTATACAATATAAATGGGAGATGGGACAGGGTTCTTGATTGCCCGAGTACGTGAAATCAGGGCTGTGTGAGCATAATCGAATCAAAGTTTCAACTACCCATTTTAAATGATGTACCGAGTGTTTCGTGTTCAAGACGACCAGCAGTTACTGAAAGTCAATTAAGGCCGCCAGCGAAGGTTTGATGAGATGTCTTCAACTAAATAATCATCCTGGAATTTATTGCAGCTACATCTACTCAACTAATCCTACCCTCTTTTCCTGTGAGCATTCAAAGCCATAAAAAGCCAATTTTTTTTGCTGTGTCCGTCGTTTTTCTTTGATTCTTGGCAGTACCCAGTTTCCTGTTCTCTGATTTTGAGGCTAAAATGACAGATTATGTGGTGAAAGTTGAAGATGGCAGACCTTCTGGTGATGGAAAGCCGTCTGCAGGACCTGTGTATAGGTGCATTTATGCTAAAGATGCTCTCATGGACTTTCCTGCTAGACTGGAGTCTCCTTGGGACTTCTTCAGGTAAACCTCAAGGAATTTTCGATGTACTCATTTAGGCATTCATTTCATTTGAGTGAATGTATACTGTGTAAATTGCTTGTTTAGAGCTATGAGACTACCCCATTTGGAGGAATGTTTCAAACTTTGCTGAAAGGTACAGATGGTTTAAAGTGAATGCATTTTATATTGTTGTTTACCCCAACACGGTAATTACATAGTTACGTTTCTTCACCTGGAATTGTATTTGTAAACTGTAATGTGTTTCTTGCTGTATCAAGAATGAGTAATGGCATTGGGTTATAGACTTAGAGTCATTGTGTTTTTACTTATTCTTGTATTCATCTTGTTCTTGCAGTGATTCTGTCAAGAAAAATCCAAAAAACAACATGCTTGGTCGGCGTGAGATTGTTGACAAGAAAGTATGTGTTCTTCATATACAGTTTTTCTTTCAAACCCAGTATCCAAAAAAAAATCTTTAATTACAGGCAGGTTCCTATGTATGGATGACATATGAAGAATCCTACAATACCGCCAAAAGAGTTGGATCTGCTATCCGGAAATGTGGTGTCAATCCTGTAAGGCAGCTCTCTATTAAACAAATCTAGCTACTTGTATGCAATCAATAAGCAATTTTACAAATATTTGATTGATATCTATTTATTTAGGGCGATAAGTGTGGCATATATGGCTCTAATTCTCCAGAATGGATATTGGCAATGGAGGTAAGTTATACACATAAATTTTTATTTTTATTTATAAAAAACTTTATTTCCATTAGCCAGACAAATGCTTCTCATACATCTTTGGAAAGAGACTACCTTCCAGTAGGCTATGTAACCTATGTTTGGATCCTAGGAAATGCCAGAGAAAGGAAAGGAAATGTTAATGAGAGTTACTGAGTTACTTTCTTATGTTAGGGTCTATCTCAGACTATGTAATTAATGCTTCTTTTTTTACACATATTTAGATTTTCTACTGTTTATATAACAGTAATATATAAATAAATAAATAATGAATTTGAAAAAAATAGTAAATATTAATTTAGTGAGTTTGAAGTTTGAACAGATATATATTTTATTATACTCAACATTTTCTTTTCTTCCAAATTTCATCTATAATTTCCTCTCAGTTTTCTTTAGCTAACTTTTTCCGAGTTAAAAACAACCCGTGGGTCTTGCGTGGATGGAGGGTTTCGGAAAACTAAGTCAATACCTTGATAAATAGAATGTTTCTAAAAATGAATAATACATCCTATCAGGCCCTTGTTGATGTTGGGATTAACATTCTTTTGACATTCTTCGATTTGTTTAATTCTTCTACAGGCTTGCAACAGCCAAGCCATTTCCTATGTACCATTATATGATACTCTTGGTATGTTCTACCTATCCATAAGGATATAGTTCACAGGATGTCATTTTTTATAATAACCATTTAAAGTAAGATTAAAAGGTTAAAACGGCTAAAGTTTCTTTCTTGTTTATGTGTGAATTGTAGGTGCGAATGCAGTGGAGTTCATCATAAACCATGCCGAATTGTCAATAGCTTTCATCCAAGAGAGCAAGATGTCAGCTGTATGTTCTTATTATACTTGTGTATACATGATAAATAGGAGTGGATTTCAATTAAGGCATAGCTAAGTTGATTTATATCACACTTAATGTGCTTCATACTGTTGTTTTATAAATCCAGCACAACAAATTTCTGTTGATGACTTTCTTATGTGTTAAATTGTTTTTTCCTTATGTGACTCTTTCTTGCAGATACTAACCTGCTTACCAACATGTACTTCACATCTGAAAAGTAGGTTAATCATTGCCATTTCTAATACAATATTTTGAAAGAGGATTTTGGATTGACAGATTCATATTGTTTCTTATGTTAAGCAATCGTCAGCTTTGGATATATTTCCAGTGAGAAGAAAAAGGAAGCTGAACAGCATGGTGTAGCATGCTATTCATGGGAAGAGTTCAGTCAAATGGTAAATCAAAGTACTCCGTAATATATTGTTCTTTTTTAAAACTCATCAGCTATTATTCTGATTCTGCTATTTAAGTCCGTCGGAACTTTGGGAAATGTCAGGGAAGGAGAATACGGAGGAAAATAGATAGGGAATTCAGAAGGGGATAAAATTTACTAGAAAATAAAAAAAATCACTTCAAACTCCATATATCAATTTAGATATCCTTTGATGCCTCTTTATGTATATATTCCAATCTTATAAAAAATAAACTAGTATATGCAAAATTTCTTTAGTATCTTTTTCCGTTCATCTGCATTTTTAGAGTAACAAACATAGCTTTAATGATCATACCAGGGAAGTTTGGATGATGAACTTCCACCAAAAAGTAAGAGTGATGTCTGCACAATAATGTATACCAGTGGAACAACAGGAGAACCAAAAGGTGTCATTCTAAGTAACGAGGCAGTGATGGCTGAAGTCTTATCTGTGAATCAACTGCTTTTGTTAACAGACAAAGCGGTAAAGATTCAATTTTTCATTTCCGAACACGAGATTCACTTTAAGCCTTAAACCCCGTGCGGTACTTCAGATAAATGGTTTTCTTTGCTTCAGGGTTCGCCGGATGATGTATACTTTTCGTTCCTTCCATTGGCTCATATATTTGATCAGATAATCGAGACATTTTGCATTCTTAGTGGCGCTTCAATTGGATTCTGGCAAGGCGTAAGATACTCTGTTCTTTTTATATGTTATCACCATCTTATGAATGTATAGTATCTTCAACACCAAGAGTCCATTTGTATCATGTAAAATACTAGGGAAATAAAAATAGAGAGGAAAATCACGAGAGATAAAAAATTCAGGGAGAATAAAATACAGGATTGGACTTAATATATGTGTTTTAGAAGCTTGCTCGAGCTCATTTTATTTATTTATTTAGATTACTTTAACACAAATAAATCTAGATGTATGTATGTTTTATAAATTGGTAATCATATACTTTATAACGTTTTCCTTTGCATTTTTCATGGTAAATATTTTATTGAATTTTTTATTTCCCCTAAATTTTTATGTGATCCAAATATACCCTAATGTTGTTCTAAACTTAAAAGCAATTATGCTTCTGACTTGCAGGATATAAGATACTTAATTGAGGATCTTATTGTATTAAAGCCAACTATATTCTGTGGAGTTCCACGAGTTTATGACCGCATATACACAGGTAAGTAAAGAAACTGCATGTATATGATCTGTTTACCATTTACTATGCATCAACCAAGAATCCTTCATGGTCCGTAGGAAGCTCAAAATAAATAGTGAAAGGAATAGACAGGAAGTTACAGAAGAAATTTAGAAAGGCAGAAAATAATAAGGAATATAAAACATTGGTTCAATCTCAAAATTGATGTTTGTTATTTATTCAAATTCATTTGTTATAATTTAACTTTATTATATAAATACTAAGAAAGCTAAATACATTCAACAAAGTTAGAAACCTTAATAATATTCATTTTACTTTGCATTTTTTAGGTAAATAAAACCTATGAGGCTAAAAGAATAATCCTCCTAAGCCTTTTTTTTAACTAGCTTTTTCCTAGATCCAAACATAACCATATAGTATCTTTAGTTTTGGTACTTAAATTATAATTTCTAGAATTCACTCTCACTGTTTTGTTTTTATTGTGAAGCCACAATGGATAAAATATTGGCTGGTGGAACATTGAAGAACCTACTCTTTCAGTATGCCTATAACTAGTATGTCTTACCATTTGACCCTCCCTTTGTTTTACTTACTGCTATAGAGTAAAAGAAAGGCAGTAACACAGAAAGTTTTGACAGCAAGTTGAAGAATCTGGAAAAAGGACTAAGACAAGAAGCAGCAGCTCCTTTATTTGACAAGCTAGTGTTTGACAAGGTCAGTGTTCTCACGCTTATATCTTTATTCACTCTATAAATCAGAGGTCCCCTAGATAGAGTTTCTATTCCTTTCACAGATTAAACAGGCATTTGGTGGGCGGGTACGGCTTATGCTCTCTGGAGCTGCTCCGTTGCCCAAACATGTAGAGGAGTTTTTGAGGGTGACATGTTGTTGTGTCTTATCACAAGGATATGGTATACTTCATTCCTTCTTTGTTTTCTGATATAATTATACTCAATATATTATTCCATGAAGATATCTAAATTAGTTGCTTTTATTTGCTGTCATAAAGAGCAATACAAGAATCAGATTTTCTTTAGCGAAACATAGTGTTTTGGTGGGGTAAATTCGGATAAAAGAACTGAATTACTGAGACAGCGGCTGGAATTACTGAATTAATTGAATTGTATAATTTTTTAAAAAGAGTTAATTTAAGTGCTGCCCTTGTCTCTTGTTACAACTAATAAAAGTAATGAAGTCCTACTCATATTTCTAAAAGTTACTCCGTATTTGTCAGCTTAGTTAAATTCGTCATATTTAACTTTATAACCTTTTTGGAAAAATAAATAGAAAATTAGTTTTGTTTGATAAAACAGGAATCTCTTTTAGAACGAAAAGAAGTTTTTAGAATAACACTCTTTTTTATATAGAGCGAATAATATTCAAAATATGAGGGTATAAGTGTCATTCACCTTTATTTCAAGCACTTAAGCCAAATGTCCCAAAAGTATATTAATTTGCATTTCTCTTTCCAATTATCAGCGGATTAAGACATTCAGTTTATAGTCAAATCAGTGAGTGTGAGGTAAATATTGTTGTTGATAAACCAAACAAGTAAAAACAAGCAAGGAAAACTCCAAAACCCAAGTTTAATGGATAAATCACCCAGCATATTTCTTAATCACTATGATATTTTTCTTTAATGCTGAATTGATTCAATTCCACACTAAATTTGTGTATGACCTTTTTCTTTCTCCCAGGCCTTACAGAGAGTTGCGGAGGATGCTTGACATCCATAGCCAATGTGTTCCCAATGACAGGGACAGTTGGTGTCCCAATGACTACAATTGAGGCAAGGCTTGAGTCAGTGCCTGAGATGGGATATGATGCACTAGCTAGCATTCCACGTGGAGAGATTTGTTTGCGTGGAAAGACATTGTTTTCAGGATATTATAAGAGGGAAGATCTCACCAAAGATGTTCTTGTAGATGGATGGTTTCATACTGGTAAAATTCAATCATTTTTGGTTCATTTGGATGCACTCCGTTTAGAGCTGCTTTTGAAAGCACCAAACGCGACCTTTCAAAGTTGAAACTCAATCTCCAAAAGCTACAAAGTGGAGGTGTTCAACTCTATAGATATATTTGAAATTAAATAAGTTATCTACAAGTAATTTATAACTTATTATATGTGGAATACTGACACAAATATATATGATTAAAATAAAAAGAATAGAAGAAATTGTGACTTTAATTCACACTGACCATTTTTGTGTTTCAGTAACTGTAGTGATCATTCAATTTTCCATTGTGATACAGTCAGTGAGCATGATGATATTTTACAAATGAATGCATTGACCTGACCATGAGGCATAATTTTGTCTAAGAATTTGATTTTAGTAATACTATAGGAAAAACCCCTTCCTTTGTACCCAAAAAAATACACGCACTAATAAGTAGTTAACATAAAGTATTTTCTATTACAGAGAAATTTGTACTCGTATTTTTTTAGGAAGAGTATGTTTATTTAAACCCCTAAAAATTTGAATAAAAACGTATTCATGTTTTAAACGCCAGTGTAGTAATTTAGGATTTCAATATCACCTTCACTGTTATTTTCCAGAACACTTCTTTTCATATTTTTCTTCGTTCCTAAAGCAACTTCTATAGATTAAACTATAACCTCTTTTCATATAGTTTTAATGCTCTGTTTTCCAAAAATGGAGCATTAATGTATATATATCTGAAAGTGAAGTTTTGCAGGTGATATTGGGGAATGGCAGCCTAATGGAGCAATGAAAATCATTGATAGGAAAAAGAATATATTTAAGTTGTCTCAAGGAGAATATGTTGCTGTAGAAAGCCTGGAAAGCACTTACTCTAGATGCCCTCTTGTGGCAGCAGTAAGTTAAACTCTTTCTTTTTCCCATAACATGAGAAAAAACTGCAAAATATATGGAAAATCTTATTTTTACATATTACGAGTTTCTGTGATTTTGAACAGATTTGGGTTTATGGGAACAGTTTTGAATCTTTCTTGGTGGCCGTGGCAATTCCAGAGAGAAAGGCACTTGAAGATTGGGCTCATATTAACAAGGAAACTGGAGACTTTGTAGAACTGTGTAAGAATCCGAGGGCAAAAAAGTATGTTTTGGATGAGTTGAACAGTACTGCTAAGCAACACAAAGTAAATAAAACTCTATTCCGCTTTCTTGATTCTATAATCCATATATACTTGACTCTCTATGCCTAATTGGAATCTTCATGCAAAACTTGTCAGCTACGCGGCTTTGAAATGTTAAGGGCCGTTCACCTCGAGCCAGTTCCTTTTGACATTGAGAGGGATCTTGTTACCCCCACCTTCAAGCTGAAAAGACCACAACTACTTAACTATTACAAGGTAATATTATATATTTTCTTTTGGAATAATGACAAATATATGACCAAATAAACATAATGGAGAAAAAATACGTAGTAATTTTTAATATGCAGTGATCATATTTTTTATCTTTCCATCATTTGCAATGGAGCCAAAGATTCATTATTTTTTGGCTTGAGATTATGATGGAATAAAGCAAAATGGCTCACTAAACTGTCTGCGCTTCTTTGTTATGAAGCAACAGTCAGTCCATGCAATTTTGGACGGGATTTTCACTATGGGTCATCCGGAAACAGTCTCTCTGTGCTTTAGTACAGGGGTAAGACTGCGTACATCCGACCTCCCCTTACCCCACCGTAAGTGGGAGCCTTTGCGGCACTGGGGTAAATGAAAATGAAATGATGAAATGAAGTGATCATTTTTTTTATAAAAAAAAATGCAGTGATCATAGCTGTACTTTTGCAGTGACATTGGTTATCAGATTAGTGTTTCATTTAACCCGCTATAACCATATTTGTATTTTCACAGTGATTGTAGTTGCCATGCTATCAAATTTTTGACGATAAGTTCCATTGCAGTAGTATTACATGAGGCCCCATTTCTTATTAATATTTTCCCATTTGCATCCTAACCTGTATTTCTTTTACTATATTAACTGGCAATTTGACCCTAAAAGATCAACTGATATAAATAGAGCAACTTCATATTTTTATTTGGCTTTATTTCTTTGTGATTATTTAGTTACCACTAGAAATTGAAACTTGATAGGAGCAGTAACTCTGTAATAGTAACCAAAGAAGCCAAGACCCTATATTTTCACTTGTTTCATATTATTCAGATGTAGGGTGACATGACCATTACAATTTCCTGAGGTTCCATCTCCGCAATTTACCCAAATCTAGCTAATTAACAGCTTCCTAATACATCTAGACTCAAAATTTGGACTAACAATCATGTTCACTTAGCTGGTTAGCTTCTTCCTTTGCCAACTTAACGCAATCCTTTCAAAATTTGCAGGATTGCGTTGATCAAATGTATAAAGAAGCAAAGGGCATGGCATCATAGCAACTGTGAAGTCTTAATTCCAGGCAAGAAGATATGCATGAACTATGAGCATTATTCAGTTACAGAGTTGCCCCTCCCATGTCTCTGGAAGAACTTCTGTGCCAGTAATTATTTTACTGTTCCAGGAACCTTTCTTGGAGATGAAAGAAGAATGAAATACAATTGTGACATATGTATTATTTGTTCAAAAGCACAGAGAAAGGAACTCGTATAATATATGGAGTATCTTCAATCAGTAAATACAATGTTTCTGATCTTTGTATCAGAGAACTAATGATAAAATATCATTTTCATCATTTTCATTTACCCCAGTGCCGCAAAGGCTCCCACCTACGGTGGGGTAAGGAGGGGGTCGGATGTACGCAATCTTACCCCTGTACTCATTTGAAAAGATATGAAGTAATGGAAAAGGTAATGATAAAATATGAAGTAACTAAATGGAAAAGATTGATAATGGCCTTGATATATAATGTACTCATTTGATAAGGTAAGAATCGAATAATGGCTCAAAACAGAAGATGTTCAACATGGTTTAGCATAGTCAACATAATGTACTAACACTATGGTATCCATATTTTCAAAAACCAAGCTTATGATATCAATGACATATATGATGAGTCATGGTCATCATGTTGTTAATTTTCATCTCCACCAGTTCTTCACCATTTTAAGCTTACTTAGAATGGTCATCAGGTGAACGGCCCTTAACATTTCAAAGCCGCGTAGCTAACAAGTTTTAAATGAAGATTGCAATTAGGCATAGATAGTAAAGTATATATGGACTATAGAATCAAGAAAGCGGAATAGAGTTTCATTTACTTGTTGTTGCTCATCCAGTCATCCAAAACTTACGTTTCTGCCCTCGGATTCTTACATAGTACTTCACCATGTTGAATTGTTGATGAGTCACAGTCATCATGTTGTACTCTTCTTCATGTTCACAAATGAGAACGGTACCAGTTTTGGAATCATAGAAATGATCAAAAGTTCTCTTTCCCTTTTTGAAATGGGTATTAGAAGTTCTCTTTAAAAGTTATCCAAAAAAATTATAATATCATTCCAGGGTGATACTTATCCAAATACACCATCTTCTACCCCAAACTTCAAGTCCCTCTTGATTTTTGGCATAACTTCTGTTCTTGCCGTGGCCTGTTTTGTGGTCTCTATGAGCTCTTTTCTCTCAAGTTAGTTGTGCCCACCTCAAGTCCTCAACATACCTGCTCCCTAAACAATAGTGTTTTGACATACCTCTCATGGAAACCCAGCACTTTGATCTTTTATATATAGAGCTAATCTCAAATCTTCATATTGGTGTTTACCATCTTCATCAGGAAATTTTGCTCTTATATGTTGCAATTGAGGCCACTGGGACCCATTTTATTGAATCCTGATCGCCTTCAATCTCATAACTGGTGCATTGTATTAGAAATTAGTGACAATTTTAAATGTTCATGGATTTTAAAAGTTTAGGTGTATTCAATGTGACTTTCGAAAGTCTACACAAATATAGGTGTATTAAATGCAGACTTTTAAAAGTCTATAAAGTCTAGGCGTATTCAAACTTCCGTTCATTTTTATTAACTTCTAAAATCATGGATTCTCGTGACTTTTAACTCATTCTTAGTACATTAATTCTCTGCAATTGTCTCTTCTATTCACCAAATATTTTCGTGGACTTTTCAGTTGTCTTCTATTTGTCACAAGTACGCTTTGATATGGTTGCAGATTTTGCTAATTATTTACTCGGGAGATGGGTATAGAATGGTCCCAATATGCAAGATTTGAACATTAAATTTTGATTTTTGTTATCATTTTATGATAAATAAAGATGAACAAGCAGATTCTACATTAATATTGATACACAAGATATACTTAAACTTAAAAAATGATTTTAATATGTCGTCTAACGAAGAAATGACTCTAATATGATCCCCAATATCCCGTGAGAGTGCCTACATGAATGCTAGTGTGGAACTCATGTTATTTAGACATTATTTCAAAATGATAATATACACATCATTACCATCAAAATAGCTTATATTAATAATTAATAATTTTTACATTAAAAATTACAACCACAAAATTAAATGTTTTTATCATTTGAACGATCTTTTTCAAAAAATGCAAAATTAACCTGAGTACGAGCATCCGCAATGCAAACCTTTCTAGTCCAAATAAATTATGCCAAATGTCAAATTATTAAAAGGCTTTCCAATCCACATGATAAATAGTGAATGAAATAGACATTAACATACGAAGCAAGGCTCCAATGCATAAAGTCCAAAGGCCAATTAGATGCCCACATGCAATTTATTTTAATAATTACTAAACTGCCTTTTAATCTTTCATACTCAGTAGATATTCTTCCTAGGCTCCAATGCATACAGTCCAAAGGCGTTGCCCTATAAATAAGCTTTCATACATATTCTTCCTTCTTCAATTTTAATATAGAGACAACTCGATCATTCTCTAGAGTAGGTAGATATATGGGTTGCCCTATATAATTTCTTATGTTTTATTTATTTCTTCCTACGAATACGAAGAGAAATTGGTTACTTTGAAATCACAGTTCAATTGTTATTATTAAATCTTAAATCAATTCAGGTGATTACTTTGAAATCACAGTTCAATATGTATACAAATTTTAAAGCTAGAGATGGATTACAGGGAGTTGAGGACCGGATATTCCTTTGTAAAAAAATTAAATACCAAAATATCAAATACCTAATTAAGAATATTTTATGTTGTGGTGATACGGAGAATTGGAGTCATGGAGATAAGAACTGAAGAATTCATGGCTATATTGAAAAGTGTAGGGTGTGGTTTTTCTTTTTTCCGATTCCCTATTTTCCGAAGGGATAAGCTGTTTTTATCCGATTCACCAAGTGTAGATGCCTTTCTACAGTCAAACATGCGTCTCGACACTGTTTAATTTTTTTGTTGCCATGTAAGCAAAGACTAGAAGCGTTGGAGGAGAAAATAAAAAATCCAAGTCTAATTTAATGAGGTGTCATTTTTTTAGTACTTATTATACACGAATACAAGTGTCTGAGATACATATCAATGCGAAAAAATAATGAAAAATGAATGAATTAATTTTTCTAAAAGAGCACTTTAGATTATATTCCATATGCTCATAACTATACAAATTGAATACAAAAAAACTTAGAAAATTGATGTAGCGTACTTGAAAGTGCAGCAGCAGAAGTTTAAATTTTTTCCAAATAGATCTTCCCTGATTATGACAAAACAACAAATATAACAAAGCTAAAGGGTCAAATAGGTCCTTGTACCCTTTCGGATTGCTGAATTTGCCCCTCAACCCAAAAAAGCTCCAATTGGCACCCTGAACTCGATAAAAATATTCAAATTTCACTTTTTGCAGGTTTCAATCCGGTCACCGTCACGTCACTCGGTAGGGTGCCAACTGTGCATGTGACATGGCAACTTAGGGGGTCAAATAAGCCCTTGAACCCGATCGAATCGTTCAATTTACCCCCTCAACCCTAAAAAATGTCAAAAACTTTTTAAGGGTTGAGGGTGTAAATTGAACATTTCAGTCGGGTTCAGGGGCTTGTTTGACCCCCTAAATTGCCATGTCACATGCACAGTTGGCACCCTACCGGGTGATGTGTTTGTGACCCGCTAAAAGTAAAATTTGAATCTTTTTATGGAGTTCAGGGTGCCAATTGGAGCTTTTCTGAGTTCGGGGGGCAAATTGAACAATCCGGAAAGGTACATGGGCCTATTTGACCCTTTAGCCATATAACAATAATAACATATGTGTGTTAGAACTTACAGATCTTCCAGCCTAGCGGTGGTGATAATCCTAGATCTTGGGTATCCACGTGATTTCTCCTTTCCGAAAGAACGGTTATATCTCTCATAGAGAAAGACTAGGAAGGGGGAGATAAACTGATAATACTGAATCTAGAAAACTAGTCATTAATTATGAAGGAGAATGATGTATTTATACTAGTTCTAAACTAGTTTCCCAAACCATTTAAAAAATGGTAATAATCACTTCCTTCCTCTCTACACAATTATTTTTATATTCTTATTTTCTTTTTAATTCTAAATTATAAAGAAAATACAATCATTTTTTAAATAAAAAAATACATCTTAATTAAGTATAGTAAATATAATTTATCTTACATACTTAATTCTATCAAATAGAACTCCCCTTCAATATCATTAATTAAATATAATTTAATCTAATTAATATTTAATCCATTTTCAGTATTACCAATTAAATATTACTTAATTCAATTAATTTTTAATTCTTTCTAACAATTCAATCGGAAGATATAATCACTTGTTGTGTGATCCATAGAGCCTTATATATTAATCACTAATCAAATTAAAGTCTTAGTAGAAACCCTAGACGATTTACCAGACAAATTTAATATATAAGGACGTTTACGAGGACTATTCAAACTCCCTGTAATATAGAACTCATAGTGATATGGTTCTTTAATTCAACGAACATTCAATTAAGTCTAAAACCTGATATTAGTCTCCGTTGGTCATGGTTAAAGTACATCACTCCACACATGAAGTACGTATTGACCTCAAGTTGGAGGACTATTACATTACTCTATACGCCGATATTTTCATAGACACATGAATAGAAGTTATCAAATGGTTTATCGATGTGTATGCCAATATTCTCTAATGCAAAAAATATTTTATACATGCCCCGACCCTCCCTACGATGCAAAACATATTTTATAATTTGGCTGTTTATTTATTAAGCTTTTCTCTTTGAAGACCCCTGAATCTAATTTTTGTTTACTTATCATAGTAAAGAGTACTTCAAGGTGTTAATAATACTACCATAAAATACAATTAATTATATTATGGGCTATTGAATACACTTTACAATGAATAAAATTAAGAATTAAAAATATAATGAAGAATAAAAAAAATTAAAATTATATAGAGTAATTAATAACACAAGTTACAAATTTAAGTTTTCAGAAATTCAGTTTACTGAGAAGTATTAATTTGGCTAAGGGATTCAGGAGGCTAAGGGAATTTAATTAATTTGACTATATTAGCCAAACAGGGGTAGCGGTTGACTATTGAAGAAAATTGTCTCATGGGTCGAGTACTCGAGTTCTTAAGGCACGGTATTTCCCAAATTATAAATTTTTTGAATGAAAATGTGGGTAAAACTCTCTGTTTATTAATGTGCCGCTCCTCCTTAAATACATAAGCCACTATCATTTTAATAGGAATAGAAGTCCTAATAGGACTAAACTAGCACTATGCGTACAACTATGTGTGAAATAAAGAAACCCTATCATGTGCACGTGCACCGCCATACGTGCACAGCCATACGTCAAGTGTGTGCCATCAATAGTAAGTACGGGTCGACAATGCTTAAAACCATGTATTGATGGCTTGAAATGGAGTTTGATTTACCTACAAGAAAGAAGAAAAAGTGTTGAAGATGGAGATTTTCCGGAGTGGGGTCGCCGGATATGGAAGTTCGCCGGAGATGGAAATGGCTCGGTCGTCCTTCGTCCTTCGTCTTTCGTAGCTGCTGCTTGGGAGATTTGGGGGTTGGGTTTCATTCGCAGTGTTCTGTTTTGTGGCTGGGCACTGTTTTTACTTAATGGAAAGTCGCCAACGGTTGGGCGACTTTCCCTGACCACGGTTAAACCCAGCAGTAGATCCGTAAATACTTTTAACCCAACATTATTTTCGTAATTAATTAATTAGCATTAATTCGAAAAAAACTCTAGTATATTGAACCAAACATTCAACAAAATATACTACCACAATCAACTTTTACAGATTTACACATTCAAGCATATCTTGAGGTATAATATAATACTATAATAGAAAGGAAATTAGGTATTTGACAACACCACAACAGTGAGTATCGCAATTTGGAAAATTAGAAATGAATTTAAGAATTATCGATTAGGTTTAAAAAAATTAAGCTCTAATTTCTAAACTTCTAATTTCCGAATGAAGAGGCGTGGGAACCACTAACCATGAGGTGGAAGTAGAGAGCTAGAGGCATGGAGCCATGGAGAGCTGGCCTACCATGAGTTCAAACATATTAATAAACATGAATTTAAGAAAACAAGACATTAATGTGCCCTTTATCTGAAGTCTGTTCAATAGCCAATGTTTTAGCAGCAATTTCTTTCATCAATGTGATTGCTCTTGCAATACCTGCAAGAAAAAGATTGAACCCCTTAAATTGCGTCCCTCGGGAATAAATAGAGAATTGCTTCCTTTTTCAATGACTCCGAGACAACCACCAAAATAATTTTCATCACACACAACAAAAAGCGATCTATTCAACTCCAACCTAGGAGTCCTTTTATTAGAACAAATCTTGAAAATGGAGTCTTTTAATCAAGTAACCTTAGCAAAATCAAAATCCATAAGAGAAGTGATTCCTTGCTTTGTTTCACAAATGCGAACAGAATTGCAGTCAAAGACTTTAAATTGAAAGAATTTGTTTTCAATGACAAGCTCATCTGTTAAAATGGGAGCAGATAGTAAATCACCCAGAGCTTTTTTCAGATACCTCTGCCTCCCACGTTCTAAGTGAACAGAGCTCCCATGTCGCAAGTGGAAGGGATTCCGTAGCTGCCAATCCAAAGGCCAGGGATTCTGGCTATGACCACTAATCGGAGTTGCCTAGAAATTCCGACGAACAGATTGGACACAAGGCTTGTTCCCTTCGCGTCTCTTCAGCCGTCGCGCCTGGTTGCCGGAAGCTCTGCACCGCACTTGGAAATCCCTTGGCTGGTTCCAGGCGGCTGAAGGTTGGACATGCTGAGAAAGCTTCGTCCATGGAGGGTCACTGTAGCGGTGAAATCCCCGTCGCGAGTCCCTGAAATTGCATCGACAGATTGTCCCCGTACACTTCCTATCGCAAGGATGATGATCTGGCGCCGATTCGGCAATAATCGATCGGTAGCCGCCTTGCCCTCATAGCCCCCCTCTCCTTTTGAGCAATGACAATAGCTCATGAAGACTCTTGCCATGAGTGCTAGGGTTATGTGAATGAAGAGTGGAGTGATGTTAAAGTTGATTTAGAGACCAGAGAAAAAAAAAAGAAATTTTAGGTGTTCAAATATGACAACAAAATGTTAAAAGAAAATAAAATAGGGTGTGAACGTCACTATCTAATATTGATATTATTGTGTCAGAAACTAATGACATGTATACATCGTAAAAAAGATATGTCGTATTTTCGTGACACTTTATTAAAAAGTATCACTAACAAAGTGTCACTATAAGCTCGTTTTCTACTAGTGAATGTGTTTCAAAAAATTTATTTTTTAACACAAAAATAATTGTGTAAAATATGGATATTGCCCATTATTTGAATATAGTACATATGGTGTGGTCTAACTATATTACATTATTAGAACAACTACACAACATTTGATAACGTTTTTAGTAGTATATGAGATGTCATTAGTTGGTTATCCTCTCCCTTCAACCAATGAACCTTATGTTACGGATCTAGCCCATACTAGGTCCATACCAGTGCATAAGCCCAGGTGTAGAAATCACTCCCAAAATATCAACCAATTAGAAGGAGGGAACACTTACTTATAAGCCACCGGCTAAGCCAATACTTGAACGATGTGAGATCTTTACAATACCCCACGCTTCGAAGAGCCAACGTTCTCGTTGATCATGGCTGTGTTGGTCACGGTTGGCACCCCAGGGCCAAGCCACCACTCCATAGACCACCACTCCGAGTGTCGGGACAAGAAAGATGGGGATGACTCTGATACTAATTGTTACGAACCTAGCCTATGCCAGGGCCATACCAGTGCATAAGCTCAGGTGTAGAACTCACTCCCAAAAGACCAGCCGATTAAGAGGAGGGATCATGTTGCTTATAAGCCACCGGCCAAACCCATACTTGAACGGTGTGGGATCTTTACACCTTCACTCCCTCAAGTCAGGGCCGGTTCTGAGGGGGGGGGGGGGGGGGGGGGGGGGGCAAGAGGGGCGACCGCCCTAGGCCCGAAATAAATAGAAGAAAAAATAGGCCCAAAATTTTTTCTTTATATATAGTGTGAGTAGGCTTCTTTTTTTTATTCTTAAGTTCAATTAATCAGGCCTAACGATTAATTTTGTTGACAAATTTGAAAATTTAAAACATAAATAAAGAGTCTTAAACAGAGACAAGTTTAAAAAAGAATATATACATTAATTTTTAGCAAGATCGGTTGCAGTTTTTAAGAGGAATACAATTGTTGCTGCATAAATAAAAGACACGTATTTCCAGTGCTCACATCTTTTTAGCTTTTAAGGTCTTTATTCAATTTAATTATAACATAACAAATTTATATAATTATTTTAGAGCCCGTTTCTCTCAAATTTCATCCCAATTATTCATTTGTTTCCAAATTTCAATAAACTATATCTGAGTTCCTAATAGTAGTTTTAGAGGACATCAAATTTGCAATCTTCTTGCGCGAGTCCTCTTGACAGCCAAAGATTTTGTTTGTTTGAAAACCTTCATTCTTTCAAGACTTCAAACTTTAGACTCTTATCAGCGGTCAATAAATCACTCTCAACTTATGAATTCAATATGTGGTAATATTTCTTTTCATTTATCCTTTCAAACGAAAGTTTATTGTTCTTATATGTGGCAATTTTATTTTTTGTCATACTTATTAATGGAAAGAAGGTTGCCTATGAAGCAATTATTAATGATTTGCTTCACATTGGTCTACGAGAAACGTTTTTAAGTAATGTTTTTTCTTTTTATTCGATACTCGTGTTGTTACTTTTGCCCAAATATGTAACTTATATAATAATAAAGAGATTCTCGTCTTTATTTTATGAACTTCATTGCCCAAATATGGTTCACTGTTTGTTATGGATATAGGCCCAAAATAGTGTACCGCCCATAGGCCCAGAAATGGACAGGACCGGCCCTGCCTCAAGTGATATGAGTTTTCCTTGGTTTGCCTCACCCTTCTTGCAAGTAGGATGTTTGATTCATTTTCCTGAAAAAATAAGGAAAAGAAAAACAAAACAACATATCCAAAAATATACAAATAGCTTTTAAATATGGCATAAACCATTACATTTTTAATAACTTCAAAAACATACAGAATGAAAAACGACCACAAACATTGTGACGGAGTACCGCGTCGGCCAAAAACGTCACCAGAGAATAACCGCAACGGTACCGCGTCGGCCAAAAACGTCAAGACCACAGGAATCTACTCTCTTTCACTTCGTCTACATCTCAGCTCAGAGAGTGGGGCCTCCGTCGGCCAGATGGCCCTCCATCGGCCAGAAAGACATCAACTCAGAATATGATCCAGAAGGCAGGAGAACCGGGTGTCCCCGTCGGCTGGGTCTCCGTCGGCCAGACCTCTGTCGGCCATAGAGAGCTCACAGAGCCGGATTTCATACTTAGCCAGTTTACATACTTCGTATTCGGCCCAATAGAGGTCTCATTGTAATCGGACTTTCCAAACCCAAGACTTGGGAGCCCAGCCCATATTTTCCCTATAAATACTCCCCTTGGGGTAGTTGTAAGGAGTTGACAAATACATTTATTGCAGAATTTATTGCACTTCTCTCTCTAGCTCTCACTTCTCTCTAAGAGTTAATACTCTATCACATTCTAATTTGAAATACAATCAGAAATACCCATATGTTTTCACAACATATCTGGAAATAATATTGTCTAGGAGCATTAGGTTTCAAATTAAAATTCCAAATAAAGTACAACAATATCTCCTTAATTCATCTCGAGTAATTTGAAAATAATATTGGGAGTCCCATTGTTAGTTGAAAATTCATCCAGTAATTTCCTCTTCATTGGGTCATCTATGTTGATGCCAACATTCCTTTGTGTAGATGATAAAGCCAGTGGGGTATCGCCATCTTTAGTACATTGAAGCTGAAAAAATTATCAAGAACTGCTGGAACTTTTACTGGATTCTTCTTGGAATTGAAATACTCCAAAACAGAAGCTTTTATCTGGAAACTAATTGCATGTTTTGGTCTCTCATGTTAATTTAGCATTATTCTCTTCATTAGCTTTGGGGAGTACTTATTATCTTCCCATATTAGAGCATGTAATCCTTTTTCCTTATCAATAAAAAAGGTTTCTATTTAAAAAAATGGCTCAATATTGACAAATAACCCTTGATTGACTTTGTTTTAAAATATGAGAATTTAATTGACATTTCGTTATAGACTTATACCACGAGTATTAAATTGACAGTTTTTCCTGTATTTTTTTTATTTTTTGTGCATCCTATGGGCAATGGTGGACACATCCAGGTCCAGCCCATAGCATCTGACGTGCAATGACACAGGGTCCAAAATTAGTGAAAGCCCAGAAAAAGTAGTATTATAAATTTGTCCAAAAAGCCTCAGTCCATTATTAATTTAATTTGAATTTATTAAGTAATTCAAGACCCAACAACTTAACCCATTCAACCACCATTCCGCTGAAGAGAGCAGTCGGCAGAGGCCTCTTGAGGCTTCGATCCTCGATGAACGAACCAGCTAAGAGCTAAGCAAAGACCGGCCCAGAGAACGAACGAACCAGCAAAGACCGGCCCGACTCGCAACTCACAACTACGGATGTGGAAAGCTTTGGGCGTCGCCAGAAGGATGAAGCTCAATCAGTCCAACGAAGCACGGCAAGCAGCACATAACTCAGTTCTTTGATAGCGAATACCTTCCTAAGTCCTAAACAGAGGTAATGTATTCGATCTTGTCTTAATCCTGCAAATTTAATACAACTAGAGAAACCCTAAGAAGTTAATCACCGATTCTGTAAATATTGTAGTATAATTTTGTTTCACTCACATAAAAACGATGATCCTGTAACCTCGCCCCTTTATCTGCTCAGCTTCAATCCTCACTCACTGTTCTCACCGCCGTTCAATATCAGATTTGTCAGCATAACCGCTCAAACCTTGATGGTGTTGTGTAAATGTAAAAGTAACGGTGTTCACTTATTTTGCATCAAAATATCTTCTCCGCCCTTTTCTCGGTTTCAATTTAGGATTTCTAATTTAAACTGAATTGCATTTTTGACTGATTGTTCACCTTATTGAGGATTTTTGACTTGTTTTGTAAACAAATATAACAATTTTATACTTATTCTTGGATTTTCTCTCTTAGAATTCTTAAAGTTAATTCATATAAGAGTCTTTGTGTATCATTTAGACCTCTTTAGAGTAACTTTTTGAAGGGCTATGTGCTTTTGTGGTGTTTGGTAAGACTTTTAAATTCCTCCATTGGTGCTCATTTGGCAAAACTTTGCTACTATGTATAGGGAAGTTATGTTTTGATTGTGCCTTTGCATTTAGTGTGATGTGTTATCGAGCTTAGTACATGGCTCAAGAAGTAGCTGCCTGGTATCTTTTGCTTTGCATTATTATTCATATTTCTTGGATTTTTCTATGCTATAAGGTTTATTTATTCATGTGGAACTCTATAGGCAGGAACACTGTATGAAATTCCTTTTTTGATTTTGTATATTAATACCCAGTATATTATTATCCCACTTTTAATTTGTATGCAATAGCTCTCGACTTCACCTCAAATAAAACATTTGGTTCTGGAGTTGGTTAATTGACATTTAGAAGGTCGTATGGGTAACTCGTTATCATTTTTGTAAAGAAAACAACAACGCTCAGTTGGTCACTAATATCATTGGTTTTATAAATTCGAAAAGAATCTAAACATTGTTAATTAGAACATATGAAATGAAGGCTTTATCATAAAAATGAGGAATACATAATATTTATATATAAATATCAGAACGAGCTAGTTTGTATTCCATAATAAGAAAGACAAACTTTTATTAAGAAATTGCTCTAAATAGGAGTAAAAAAGTTGTGCAATTTCAAAATAGGATCACTTTGTTTATATTCCCTAAATTGGAGTAAACAGACATGCTTGGAAAATACTGCCAATTATGGTAGGATATTGTCGGTATGACAATAACTTACTCATGTCTAGGGGGAAAACATAGTTCTCCTATTTTGAAATTTTACATTGCTTTTACTTATATTTTGAAATTTTACACTGTTTTTACTCCTATTTCAGAAATTTTCCCTTCTTTTTACTGCAGATGGGAGATGACTAGATGAGTAACAACTTATTGTCTTTATTCTTACAGTAGAAACTCAGATGTCTGATGATGTGGAGAATCCCAAAGGTGAAAACACTAAGTCACTTCATACTCCTCCACATGATGTCCAGTCAACCTGGTATGACAGCTTACTTCTACAAGCATCTATTTATGGCATAGCAGTAGGCTATTGTATATCAGCATCTCTGTTGTCCATCATAAACAAATGGGCCATAATGAAATTCCCTTACCCGGGTGCTCTAACTGCCCTTCAGTACTTCACAAGTGCTTTTGGAGTCCTTGTTTGTGGGTGGCTAAACTTAATCCAACGCGACAGTCTTGACCTCCTCACATTATGGAGATTCTTACCCGCGGCAATAATTTTTTACCTATCGCTTTTCACAAACAGCGAACTTCTCCTGCATGCCAATGTGGACACTTTTATTGTCTTTAGATCGGCAGTGCCAATATTTGTGGCAATTGGGGAGACTTTATACCTCCACCAGCCTTGGCCGACGATACGAACGTTTTTGTCCCTAGGCACCATCTTTGTTGGTAGTGTGGTTTATGTCATCACAGATTACCAGATCAACCTAATCGCATACGGTTGGGCATTGGCTTACTTGCTGAGCATGTCGGTTGACTTTGTCTACATCAAGCACGTTGTCATGACTATTGGGTTGAACACATGGGGCCTAGTGTTGTACAACAACCTTGAGGCTCTTCTTCTTTTCCCCATTGAGCTCCTCATAATGGGAGAACTGAAGAAGATCCGGCATGAGATTACGGATGAATCGGATTGGTACGGATTTCAAGTGTTGTTGCCCGTGGGTCTCTCGTGCCTGTTTGGTTTGTCAATTTCTTTCTTCGGGTTTTCTTGTCGTAAGGCGATATCCGCCACTGGGTTCACTGTACTTGGCATAGTTAACAAGCTGTTGACGGTCGTAATAAATCTTTTAATATGGGACAAACATTCTTCTTTTGTTGGTACCGTGGGGCTGTTAATATGCATGGGTGGTGGCATCATGTACCAACGGTCAACAACAAGCAGTAAACAGAAGGGTGCGGGAGACACAGGCCCACAGCTGGTGGAGGAGGAACAAGAAAAGCTGCTTGAAATGCAGGGCAGCTCGGATCCCATCAATAATGTAAAAGAAGTTGCAGAATCTGAAGGGGGGCAGTGATGTAAAACTTGAATAGAACTTACCTGGGATTCTTTTAGGGTCTGTGTGGGTGGGAAGGGTTTGGAAGAGAAGCTTTGTCATAGTCGGGTCTATATCTTAATAAAGCAGATGTTCATAAAAACAAATAAAAGGTGACTGGAATGTTATATGATCACATACTTCTACAAGCAAGTCCTTCAAAGTGTTTCTCTCTAGATCCCTCCAGCCAGACTGTTATATGGCAGACATTTTTTCACAGCACTAATCGCTCTATCGCTCTGGAAGCTAGCCGAGTCTTTTTTTATGGGGAGGGGGTGTTAGGAATTGGGGCCTAGTTCATGGCTAGACTACTTTACATATGAAGTGTTGTTTGCAAATGAAATCAGAAGCAAATGCCTGTTGACTATGATTGGATAGTTTTGGACTTTTGAGCTTGATAGTTGAGAACAGGTTACAGGTTCAGACTTTGTAAACTGAGTAGTTTTTAAGCTGTTTATATGTTCAACTGTGGACTCGCTGAGTAGTGTGAACTCATCCCCGCACAAATATCTTATGTTTCTATTAAAGTTGCTAAGGTTTTCGCTCAGTTAACAATGGATTGTTTTCCTCCTCAGTTAACAGTGGATAGTTTTGGACTTTTTACTCCGTAATATGTAAACAGTAATGTCCTTTTATCTTAAAAGGCTAGAATTCTCGCGCATGGGTTATGTTACATAGGATGTTGTTATCTATATTAGACTACGTTAATGATGTAAAAAAGTGTTGTTAAAGATTGAGATTCATAGAACTTGTGTGACTGCACAAATAGTGAGAAACAAATAGTTATGCACCTCTTTGTAAATAGCACTTAGGGGTGTTTGGAATTTATTTTGCTTATGCTTCTTTTTTAAAATCAGAAGCAAATTCAGAATCAATTTTTTCAGAAGCCGATCTCCCCCATCTTCTCAAAAATTGCTTCTATGAGTAATTTGGAGCACCCAAAAGTGTTTCTACACTTTCATTCAAACACTCAAATATTTGTTTATGTTCCTTCAAGGAGTCGAAGCTGTTTGAACTTTGAAGAAGTATATCTAAACACCCCCTTAATACTTTATTGGTTGGTTGATCACCTTCATTGTTATTATCATAAATTAAGCTTCAATTCAAACTGAATCGTTGCTTTTGGGAAAATTACATTTGTACTCAAAATTAGTACACAAATTATATACAAACTCTCTAGTTGCTTGCAAAAATACATGTTTACACATGCAATGTACAACAATAATTACCCCACTTTTGTTTAATCAATCTTTTTTCATCTCATTAATGAATGTGCATTGAGTATTAAACAATAGGGTTGGGCACGGTCCGGATCGGTCCGGGTAGTTGACAAATTTTTAAGAACTACCGGTTCCATTTAACGGGTAGGTTAGGTCTAAGTATACCAAGTCTCGGAATAAGAATCGAACTTTACCTGCCTTGTTTGGAATGGATCGGTTCGGTCTGAGTTCTCGGTTCTGTTTTTTGTATAAAAAAATACGACTATACTAGCAAAGTTTCTAGTGAGGTATAAAATTCTCAAACTGATTAAGTATTAATGTAACCATAATATAGTTAAATTTCAAAATAAAAAAATACAAGAACAACATTTTAAATTAGTTAATAAAATATCTAATCACAAATCTATAAATTAAATAGAACACAACCATCTAAACTAAAATCTTAATCATCATTCATAAACTAAAAAAATAGCACTATAAAGTCATACAAAAGTAAACTACTTACTCCACATATTTGTTTATGAAAACAATTTAAGGCTTATTAAACCTCAAAGTATAAGAAAAATTAAGATAATTAAATGAATATGCACACTTGCTTGAGAAAGAGTCTTTGTTTACAAAAAATATTAAAGAAAGAAATTTGATGTATTAGGAATAAAGAATTGGGGAAAACGTTTAGAAATTTATATGAACTTGGAAACTCTTTTTAATTGATTGACAAGTTTCTTTATTTGAGTGTCTTTGTCTAGACATAAGAACATGAAGAATATATCATTATATTGTACGAAGTATTAAATATAATAGAGTTTTAAAATATTATTTAGAACGGTTCGATCCGGGTACCCTTTTTTTCAAATTATAAGACCCGTTCGGTTCTTGTGTTTTTTAAGGTCACCCCACCCTGAAGTGTCGAACCGTTTCGGTTTTCTAAAATTAGAACCCAACCCTAACCTGCCCTGAACCTCTATTACCCAATACCCAGCCTGACCCGCGATTCCTGTACTCAATTCCCAATGCCCCTATTAAACATATTGTCTCAATTAGGGATGGACTCGGGCCGGGTGGCCCAACCCGGGACCGGTACTGTTCCAGCCCGGCCCGACCCGGTGGCCCGGTCAGTGACCGGTCCGGGTAGGCCGGGCCCGTGGGTTTTCCGGCCCGGGCTCGGGTCACCCAAAACAAGGCCCGACCCGGCCGGACCCGGACCCGGTTCGGGCCAAAACCTATTTTTTTTTTAATTTTCGGGTTGGACTGGGTATTTTTGGCCATTTGGGGTGGTTTGGGGGGTTGGGGGTGGGAGGGAGGTTAATTAGGAAGAGGAAAACAAACAAAAATGATAATGGGCCCGGCCCAGACCTGGACCGGACCTGGTGGTTACCCGGGCCGGTCCCGGGTCCACCATTTCTGAACCGCCGGCCCGCCCGGGTCTAGGTCCGACCCGGACCCGGCCCGGACCTGAGTCCATCCCTAGTGTCAATAGCATGTCACTCCTTGATCCATTCATCCATATTAATCTATTTAACTTGGATCTTTTAGGGTGTTTGTGATCCCTTCTACTTAGGGATGGAGTAAACCGGGCCAGGTCGGCCCGGAACCGGCCCGGACTGTTACTGTGCAGGCCCGGATCGGACCGGGACCGGTTCGCCGATTCCGGGCTTTTAGCCTGTTTGAGCGGGTCAAGCGGGCCGGGCTCAGGTCCAGGTTTGGGCGAACCGGCCCGGGCAGTTCGGGCCGGTCCCGGGTCAATTTTTTTTTTCAATTTTTTTTCTTTTCCTAGGGTAGGGCTGGGTGTTTTGGGGAGGTATGGAGGGGGGGTGAGGTGGGGGTGAGGGGGGTGAGGGGGGTTCGGGGAATAACAACTGATGGAGTATATGGGTCTAGGCCCCAGGACCCACATACTCAGAATAGAAAGCACAGCCACTACGCGATGCCCTCGTCGGCCAGAAGACCCTTGTCGGCCGAAGAAGGACCAACTCAGAATATGATCCTGAAGCCAAGGAACCAGGGTGTCCTCGTCGGTCGTGCCCTCGTCGGCCAAGACCCTCGTCGGCCACGGAAGTCTCACAGAATCAGATTTTACACTTATTCATTCATATAGCCCACCAGTGGCTCTGTATTCGGCCCAATAGTGGTCCAGTTGTAAATGGGCCTCCCAAGCCCAAGGCTTGGGAGCCCAGCCCGTATTTTTCCTATAAATACTTTCTCTGGAGGTAGTTATGGGGGTTACAAGATCATTCTATTGAAGCATTACTTGCACTTGTCTCTCTAGCTCTCACTTCTCTCTAGATATATACTCTATCAACAACTTAACAAGAAAGTCAAAAAAAAAATAGACATTGAACAGGGCCCGGCCCGGCCCGATTAGGCCCGGACCCGGTATCAACCCGGGCCAGTTCCGGACCGAAGGATTTGCAAAAAAAGCCCGCCCGAGCCCGGCTAGGAACCGGACCGGACCGGGTCCATCCCTACTTCTACTTTAAAAAGTGATTTTTTAAAGTGATTCTAGAGAAAGTGATTAATAGTAAAAGTTAGTAATGTTTGAAAAAAAGTTATTCTAAAAAAGTAAAAGTTAGTACTTTTTTATAAAATAAGTATTTTTTGTGTAATAAAAAAGTAAAAAGCAATCTAAAACACCCCTTCAACTACTTTCAATTTTTAGCTTTTAAGTGTTAATTTAAGCAAAAATTGTCACTTGAAAACACTCATTTCAACTTTTTTAAGCCAAAAGCGGAAAAGGACTTTTTTAATGTTCTGCAAACAATACCTTAATGACAAGAAATTTCACGTTTTTAAAATTTTAAAATTATTGCTGTGAACTGCAGAGAATATTCAAGGATTCAAAATGAATTAGATACCTTAAGAGAAAGTGAAAAACTTTCCGAGTTTCTACTTTATTAGTTTATTATCTTGGGCTAAAAGTATTATTGGCATTTGGCAGCAGGCCACAAATAAGTTCAACAAACAAGAGAACTACAAAGCCATTTAAAGAATTTAAAAGTTTTGCCTTTGGAATCATAATTTCCTATTTTGACAATGACACGAGTCACACGACGGATAAAATCAAACAAATTAATTTAAAATCATGAACCTATTTTGTTTTCATTTACTACTTGTCTACTAGTGGCTGATAGACAAACTTACTGTTTACATGTAAAAATCTTGTATGAAAAATCTCTTCAAATCAATGGCTACTTCATACTATTGTAAACAGTTCACAAGTGTACATAAAAGTAGGTCCCACAAGGCTCAAAAATGTAAAACCAATTCAAGATAGCAAACTATTAATATAAATATGAAGGCAGGAATTTCAGCACCGAGAATTAAACATCCCAATACCATGTTGTCCATCTACACAAGGAGAACTGCATTGATGCAGCCATCATTTTCAGGATTATTCGTCACTTGAGCATACTTCCCTGCATATAACCCCCATGTTTGTAAATGAAACTTGTATAAAGGACAAAGCATGAAAAACATGCATAATTATTAGGAGTGGCAAAGAATTCATTTCCCTACTGACTTTCCAAAGGTAAATTCATTCCATTGCTAATAAGTTAGTGATAATGATTTGGATGAAATCCATCCATTTGTGTATGGATGGTGAGAAGTTACAACCAATCCACATATTTTGTACTCTTTTGGGACTCTTTCAAATACTCGTAGTAGTTTGAAATCATCCAAACCATTGAATCATTCACATGAAGAGTAATAAAAAAAATTGACAGGTTGGATATCCACAACAGCAACAACATCCAAGCCCAAGTCCATAAGAGTTTGAGGTCGGCATATTGGATATCCATACACACAAAATTTGTTCAATGGAAGGATCTTATTAAATAGCTCAAGGATGGGATGGGGAATCCATCCATTTTGCACCTCCTTATAATAACAAGGAAAAAGAACAACAAACAATCTTACCCCAGACAACTTTTCCAGCAGGAGTTACAAGACCAAGTTCACTGACGTTCACCTGAAATCAGGGCGGGGTCAATAACTGAAGCATAATAAATTTAATAGTGGGCATATGATAAAAGTAAGTTCAATTTGCATCTGGTAAAGATTATACCTCAATGATGGTTCCTTTGGTTATGACGCCAAGAGATGTATACATTGCACCATTTGGATTTTTCTTCACACCAATGATTTCAAGATTGAAAGTACACTTGAGTTCAGGGTGCGTCACATGAGCTTTAGTGAAACGCATGCCTGAGGGTCGTATGAAACGCTCATACTTTGGAGGTTTTCTAGTAAAAGTTGGACCTACAAAAGTGGCTTTTGTGACCATCCTCTTCCATTGTTTGGCTGCATTACAAATCAAAACAACATTTTCAGAAAATGTTGGGTGGTTGAGAATGAACTTTCTGAAACATACAAAACACCACACTATCAACAAGCAATCACACTTAGACTTGGTGTTTATCTATACAGAAGCAAAACAACATCAGAGAACAATGTGAAGCCTGTAGCAAATATGTCGCGCAGGAAGATCAAAAATTTTAAAAAGAACTTCAATTAAAAAACAAGTAAACGCACGTATGTAACCAAGTACATTGTGGAGCACTTACTCTTTCTTTTACCAGTTCTGATCACTTTAAACATTTCATCTTCAGCCACAGGCCTTACCTGGAAGGTAGATATAGCAATTTAACTAATTTTTCGATTTCTGTACCAGATAACAATATAAAACATGTGTGCTGAGAGATGCTAAAAGCAATAAAAAAACATAGGCAACATAAAAAAATTATTGTGAGGATGTGATGCAATCGTGCAAGTTGAATCCACATTACCTTAGGTAATGGAACATCCCATTTTCCTGCTTTCTCTTTTCGCTTTTGCTTTATGGTATTGCTGATGACCTAAAATGATCAAGAAATGGCAATTATATACTGCAGATGAAACAGAGGAAAAGTACAAAGTTTGGTAAATAACATGCCTTTGCTCTTGTGGTACTTTCACGATCAAGAAGATAGGCTGGAATAGCTCCATCATGTACTTCATCATCAACCTTTTTCCTTGACGATGACTCTTCATGCATTGCCAATCTGATCACATGACAGCATAATAAAATATAAGCATGGACAAAACATTTATTCTCCCACACTCTGAAGCATTGATATCGAAAACCCATTCATTTCAATGTTTGCAGCAAGTGGTAAACCAAACAAGATTTTATTGCAAGTAATAGCAATCTGTTTAAATTGAATGTGACAATGCTGATACTATATGGCTAGAAAAGGGATTCCTGTGAGGAAAAAAACAGATTTTACAAAGTTAAACTCGAAAATATGAACCTGAAAGAATCTAGCTTACGTTTTCTTCATCAAGGCCTTTTCACGGTAGTTCTTCTTAGCGATCATCTTACCCTTGATACCCAGAGTCTGTTCCAATATCAAGAAAGTTAACGCTTAGATCACAACCCAAACAGAAATCGAAACAGCATCCATCTGGGCATGCGAGGAGTGTTAGAAATTTAAAGAACATCACCTTTTGAGCAATCTGGGAATGCTTGTGAGGCTCACGAGCCTCCTTCTTGCGTCTTTTCTCGAAGTGATCATAGCGGTAGCCATATCTTTTCCGGTGCAGCTCTATGTAATCTCCTTGCGGCTTTTAGGAGAATTTCAAGCAGTATAAGCATTAGATAATTGATTATCGGCAAAAAAAAACAATGCAACAAAGATGATCAGGAATGAACCATGTTTCAGAATTTAAGAATGTCTGAACTACGGAAATTATCAAAGAGGGGATGGAGTAAAACCCTAGTTTGATTTTAGAATGATATCAGAAGGTTTTGTACCTGGGACCATATCGGGACATTTCATATCATTTTCATTTACCTCAGTGCCGCAAAGGCTCCCACCTACGGTGGGGTAAGGGGGAATCGGATGTACGCAGTCTTACCCCGTACTAAAGCACGGAGAGACTGTTTCCGGATGACCCATAGTGAAAATCCCGTCCAAAATTGCATGGACTGACTGGTGCTTCATAACAAAGAAGCGCAGACTGTTTAGTGAGCCATTTTGCTTTATTCCATCATAATCTCAAGCCAAAAAATAATGAATCTTGGGCCCATATCGGGACACAGGCTTAAAATCAAATTTCCCACATCGGTTTATATGAAGATTTGACAATCCACCACCATTTTTTTGAAAAAAAAAGATAGCGGATTTTTTTTAATATCTTTAAAAACTGGTTTTTATTATATGCTCGTTACGTAAAACAAATACTCTCTCTGTCCCATTTTAATTAGCCAAACTTGACTTTTCAAGTTAATGACGTCTAACTTTGGCTGGTTATATTAACATGCAAAAGTATTGGTAATATGAAAATGTTTTTTGTTAAACATATCATCATAAAGGTATAAAATTATTAAATTGTGCATGAATATATCAGTTAAAATAATTGGTCAAAGATTACCATCTTTGATTAGAAAAGTCAAAGATGACTAACTAAAATAGGACAAAGGTAGTACAATGTATTTTAATTATGAGATCTTAATTATAACATTTGAGCAGAAATTATTGTCCAAAGAACTCCAACAATTGAAATTTCATATTTTAAACACTTATACAGAATATGTGCAATATTAGAGTTATTTCATAAAAAGATATGAATTTTGATATATTCTTGTAAAAATTAGAGTACAAATAAAAAATTATAACACTTAAAATAAATGAAAGGTTTTTTCTTAGGGTCCCACATCTAGCCTTTTTCTTCTGCACTCGACCTTCTCCTTTCTCCTTTCTCGGCCCTTCCTTTGTTCCAGCAACGAGGTGAATGGGGTGACCAAGGTAGTCAAAGTCGAAAGGCGCACCTGAAGCGCTAGGAGTCTTCTAGCGCCTGAGGCGCAAGACGCAAAAAAGCGCTCACCTGACTCGGGTGAAGCACATTACTTACATAAATCACATATACTATTCTATAATGACCAAATATGATGTATGTAACATCATATTGAAACAAATGCATATAAAATCCAGGATTCACCAAAATAAAGTCATGACTTACAAAAAATAAAACACCAAATTCAGAATTTATGGCTTTAATACTAAAACTATAAGTAAAAGACAAACAAATTGGAGCCTATTTCCCCTTGTTAAACTAGTGAGCCTACATAGTACTATTACTTTATTAATAACATAGCAATATACTAGTGCTGTGAGTAACATAGAGTAATACAGAGTATTATGACTATTATATACAAAGCAATATACTAATGTTGTGGCCTGTGAGTAATATAGAGTAATACTGAGTACTATTACTTTTTAATATAAAATGCATATTGAAACAAATGCATATAAAATCCAGGATTCACCAAAATAAAGTCATGACTTACAAAAAATAAAACACCAAATTCAGAATTTATGGCTTTAATACTAAAACTATAAGTAAAAGACAAACAAATTGGAGCCTATTTCCCCTTGTTAAACTAGTGAGCCTACATAGTACTATTACTTTATTAATAACATAGCAATATACTAGTGCTGTGAGTAACATAGAGTAATACAGAGTATTATGACTATTATATACAAAGCAATATACTAATGTTGTGGCCTGTGAGTAATATAGAGTAATACTGAGTACTATTACTTTTTAATATACATAACAATATACTAGTGCTATGAGTAATATAGAGTAACTCAGAGTATTAATACATTATTATGAGTAATATAGAGTATTATATACATAGTAATATACTAGTACTTTATTATATTGTGTTATATAGTAATATACATAGTAAATAAAATGGAAGATGAAGGACAAGAACGCTTACTCGATCGTTGAGCAGAGCAGGAGGTTTACATTATGCATTTAGCTTAGGTTAGTTGTTTTGACCTTATTTACGTGGGCTTTAGTAAAAAAAAATGGGCTTCTTGATGGTCTTTTTTGACCGCACATGTGAAGTAAAATCGGAAATAAACCCTCCCTTCTCAGGCGCGTTCAGCAAGCGCTGTATAGCGCATCTGCGCTTCTGTGCTTTGCACAACTTACCTGCGCCTTAGAAGGGAAGGTGCGACTGGCCATCCATAGGGCGCTGGACCTCTCTAGCACTGCGCCTGCTGCACTTAAGCGCTCAGGCGCACGACGGCACGACTTTGACAACCTTGGGGGTGACAAATATTCCACCAAGGGGGTGTCATACACCCATTGTGGCACTTTGACTTTGCAACATTAGACTTTAAAATTGGGAAGCTTTTAATTAAATGATTCCCAAACATGTAAATTAATGAAGAATAAATGGTTTGTAATATTATTATTATATTTTCTTTAAATTTGATTTTAATGTGGTTAATTTGTTCTACAATCTAATTTTGAGTTTCATGGACAAACAAACACTTGTGTGAAAGGTAGTTTGGGAATTGAATAATGGTGTTAGTGGTGTTATGTGAATAAAACTCAGCTCGTTGAAGCTAAGGTTCGACTCATTTGTTTGAGAAAACGAGCCGGAGTGATTGTAATGCTCGCTTAAGTTAAAAAGTTTCGATCATAACTGACAAATGGTGGTCTATGGCACACATACTTTGGTGTAGGAGATTATTTTCAAACTCGAGTACCTTAACAAAGCGAGTTCAAACTCTAAATAATTTTCAACAAAACATGCTTTGTTATGAGCTCAAATCTAAGAACAAATTTCTGCAAGTGATGAGCTAAATCAAATTTCACAACCAATATCAAGACATGAAAAATGTGAAAATTAGTTTCGGGAATAAACAGCTATTACGATCTCCAACACTTTTGTTTCTAAGAATAATTACCCGCTAGCCCACAAAAAGATCTGAAACAAAGCTTCAGAATACAATAACAGAACACATGAACAGGCTCCATGAATCGAAAAATACAGTTTTTTAAGCGCATAGCAAGGCGATAACTAAATGGTTTAACACGCAATCAAATGCGCACATCTAAATGCAACGAATCTAAACGCCTTGTAAAACGCTGAAGACATATGAATCGACGAAGAAGTCTGTATATCTAACAAAACTATCAGATTTGGGGGCATACCATTGCTCCGAGCCGTGCTGGATGAAGCTTAGCTGCGGGACAGTTTCGCAATGGAAGAGGGGTTTTGGCACTTCGTTCTACAGCAGCTAAACGGCGACTCTACTCTTCGCGTCTCTCTCACTACAACGAAGCTTCTGGACCTTAGGTTTTCGACGGAAAGGTTTTGGCACACTATGTTGTGCGTATATTCCCCGGATGCGAGAATAAAGAACAAGAACAGGCCCTCTTGCGCCCAGATGTGTTTTTTTATTTTCCTTCTAGGGTTCAACCGATTTGTTGTAACATATTTAGGGTGTTTACCACATTTGTAGCACAATAAAGCAAATTGATTCCTGTCAACACTCAAATTAGTTTTAGAAAACAAAATTTACATATTCAGAAACTACATCAAAATCGTTACGAAATCTGCAAAAAAACAATTCAAATTTCATAAACTTTTGGTATATAAAGTAAAAGATTAAGAGTGGTTTATGTTGACCAAGTGAATAGTAAATGTATCTTACAATTTGGGACTGAAGGAATAATTTTTAAATAAACGGTAACTTGTACTCCTCACTCCTCAGCTTTTAATAAAATAAAATTAAAATAAATAAAAAAAAGAGGGGAAGCTCAGTGAAAAACCTACTGCGAATCGAAGTGACAGATAGACCGGTGATTTTTAAACGGGTCGGCCCAGGCCCAATAACCCAATTGTGAATCTACAAAATGCTAATCCATGAGGCTGCACTCCGTATATAACTCTTACTACTCTCTAATACCCTATGATAGATGTTTTAAACTGTCTTTCACTTTTTCTATTACACAAAAAAACACTTATTTTATCAAACACTACCAATTTTTACTTTTTCATAATCACTTTTTTCTCAAACACTACCAACTTTTAATATTAAACATTTTTTATAAAATCACTTCAAAAATCACTTTTTTAAAAGAAAGAATCGCAAACACTCCCCGAATTACTTTGCAACGTGTATTAGGGGTGGGCAAACGGGTCTGGAACCGCGGCCTGGTCCGAGTAATGGCGGTTCGGGTCCAAAACGGTCCAGGTAGGGGCGGGTAATTTTTTTTAAAAGAACCGGGCCGGTTCCAAAATAAAAAAAAAATGTCGAGTACCCGGCCCATTATATATACCGTATATTAATTTATTAATAGTTTTGAGATAATCGGTGCTTATCACCCCCATGTATGTGTTAGATATGGCTAATACTGAAAATTTAATAAATAAATAAATCACCTTAATATGTGATGTAAGACAACATGTTTAAATTCAAATGTTAGAAAATATGTATTTTGGCTATGTTGTTTAATTGTTTGGAACTTAGATGCATGAAATTATGGAGTATTATATTCAACTTGTCACTTCGTTACATGTGCACCATTATGTTGTTATTTTGAAACTTGCTAATGTTATTGATTTTTGATTATTGATTATTGATTATTGATTTTTTATTTTTGGTTATTGATTATTGATTTTTGGAACTTCGTCAGTTTTTACTAATTTTAAAGCATGAAAATAGAAACCGTAAAACTCGGATCGGACCGGCCCATTTTAAACAGGTCGGGTAAGGTCCGGTTCTTATTTTGAAAATTGCCATACTCGGATCGAATTGGATCGTACAATAAAACCGACGATTCCATTTTATTTTATATTACCGCCCCATGCCCAGCCCTAACGTGTATTGCACATTTGCACCTCTTTCATGCCCATAGACCATAGTCATTACCTCGTAATTTATTAATGTTGGTAGTAGTGAAATAGTACTAGTATTCTTTCAAAAACAAAAAAGTACCAGTAATATGATAGTACCTGTACTGTGTTCCGAAAAGGTTGGTGATATCGACTTTTCTTGATCAATGATTGTAAACTTTAGACAATAATTTTGATTACTATATTTGTATATAGTTTATAAACTTTATACATTTATGAAAATATTTTGAATAAGGAACATTTTGATATTTCATATTCTAAATAATTTCGTATTAAAAAATATCATTGGTCAAAGTTGATTACCATTGACCAAGAAAAGTCAATTTGGAGAACTTTTTCGGGACAGATGGAATACTACGTATCTGTCCTCGGCTCTTCCTAATGAAAGGTTTCGACTTTTCTTTTTGGACGTTGTATATAAAGGTTCTCATTTCTATTTTTAAAAAATAACATTATTAAATAAAAAATTTGTTAGGTCATTTTAGAGTAGATCTTGATGAACAACTGTATTTGACTTTGTTAGGTCCGTTTTACTGTTAACACAAAAAGTTTTAAAAGTCTATTCACCACTTCTCTAAACTTTTACCTCACTAAGGACCATCAAATTTTATTATCAAATATTAAAAAAACATTTATAACATCACAGTTATTATCAATAACAACCTCATTATACTATATATTCATCAAAACTATTTCTCAAAATGTACTTGAATAACCTCATTTAGTTATTGTCTAAAATAGTCTTTTTACTCATGTATTGCACGGGATTTCAAAGTAATTAATTAAAATCGAACTATAATAATGCACACATATTTGCGAATTACATAAGTGCTACTAATTATTTAATTAGTTAAGTATTACACAATTATTAGCATTCTTAAAATCTAGAATTCAGAGTTAAGTGTTTAATTAGTTGTGAATAATGTGAAGAAATATTCATTCAAATCAAGTGTTAATGTCAATATAAGACGAACAAGAAGCACTACCATAAACGCTTAAACTCCAAATATTGATATAAAAGAAGGCTAAAAACTTCTCGATTGTATATGATGGATGGAAAATGAAAAGAGTTAAAAAAAATATGTCAGAAATATATACTTTAAATGCTAGAATATCTTACAAATCAAGTAATCTCATATAGAAGTACGCAAAAAATGCTTCAAACCGAAAAAAATCGGGTCGGACCAGACCGAAAAACCCGGAAGCGGATCGAACCGGAATATTGCCTGCTCTGGTTTGTGGTTATGAAAAATTACAATTCTTATTTCTGAATAATTTCCGGTTAAAACCCGATTTATTGTGAACTATAATAGTATTGTGAAGAAATATTTAAAATAAAAGTGATAACAATCCAAATAAAAGTGATTATTATATACGGAGTATTTCATTTTAATGTTATATTCAACCATTTTTTTATTGTCTTCAGAATAGAAACAATTAAAACATTTTTATTCTACACTCAAATAACTCAAATTTGTGCTCTTTAGAACTAATAAAAATAATTAAATAGATAAATATAGTAAAAACATTAACATTATTAATATTAAATAGAGAAAAAGGACAAAAGACCCTTCTATGATAATTACATCAGTTAAGATCATTGATGGAGTATATGGCCCAGGAACCCCCAGCCCACAGACTCCTGCTACTCTGACACAGGCCCAACAAGCCCAGGAAGCATAACGGGCCCAAATCACAACGCCCCAAATATCAAGGAGCCCACGTTGCACATATGGACGGCTTCGGCCCCTAGACCGAAGGCTCGAAATCCCACAGGACAACTGGTTTTGGGTATACGAAGCTACTGGGAGAAAACGGCGAAATCAGTAGCCTTCGGGACTTAGAGCCCTCAGCACTGAGAGGCCCCCGGTATGAAGAGCCTTCGGCTTATCATCTACAGCCGAAGGCACCTTCCTCGATAGGATCTCCTCTCCACATGCTCCTGGATCGCCTTACCAAGTACAACATCACATCCAACCGCCGCATTTAATGCGACCACATGTAGGTGCCGATGCCACCCCGGTTGAGGTGACCCCTCGACCGTTAGATTATTGACACGTGTACTCTCATCGCATTTATTACTACTATAAATGTCTGCCCCTTTCCCATTTGTAACACACGACTTGAACACTCATTCTATATTCGAACTCTTTATGTCTCTTACTTATTTGCTCTGACTTCTCTCTAAGTTATTCCCCGCAATAACCCCTCGGATAAGCTACCCCCGGGTACACTATCCATCAATCATGTGCTTGAAAAAACATCACATAAAATATCTACTCTAAGAGGTTGTTTGAATTGCTAACACTGTTTTCGGCTTATCAACCAACGTTTTCACCAAACACGTAACTTTTGTTTTCGATAGCTGAATTGTGTAATAATAAGAAAAAGTAAGGTTTAAGTTACTTTTCTGGCTGTATTGGTTGAGATTAGTGTAAAGGATGACTACATTAGCTGTTTTGCATATAATTTTCTCTTTATTTTATTAATAAAATATATTTTAATTTTTTTTGCTTAAATCAGCAGAATCAACCAATATTGTCATTTCAACCAAAATTTCATACTCCGTAATTGTTAGCCGAATCAGCTGATTTTCGTCTTACCAAACGGACTCTAAGAAAACAACCACATCAGCCCATGTTATCGGAATTCGGAACACTACCTTGGTTAAAGTGAGGGGTTGATATCTTTTTCTTTTTCCTTTTTTTCTTTACTTTTTCTTGTGTTTGTTTCTTTGCTTTTCTTCCGATCCTCTTTCGTCATTTAATTTCTCCCCTATTTTTTTTTCTTTCTCCTTTAATTTTAACCACCTCTTCCTCGCCGCCCTTAGTTTGTTTACCACCCTCATCATCAGTCATACCCTTCTCCCATTAATTGCCGCCCGCTTTCTCTTCCTTCTTTGTGGTGGCTTCTACGGCGAGTCGGCGACCGATCTTCGTCTTTTTTTCAATGTTCAATTAATTATGGGAGGGTTGTTTGTAGTTTTGTACGTATGTATGTAGACAATATCTCAAGATGTGTAGACATAGATAGATCGAATATTGATCGAAACTGTTAAACCAATATATTTTTTAATTTCAAATTTAAACTTTAGTTTTTTTGTTTTTTGAAATTTATTTTATCTATTTAAAGTCTATAAGGATAAAAACGAAGTCTATTAATTATATTGACGACTTTCTAATTACATAAAGAAAACCTCTCTCTAGGTGGTTCTCCGCCGCTAGGGTTTCCTCTCCGCTATCGATATCGTCGAGGAGCGGCCGTCTCCCTACTTAGTCAGGGTTTTTTGTTCCACAGAGCTTTGCTCGTGCTGCTTGGATTCTCGTGGAAAGAGAGCTTCGTGCGGTTTTCCTTTCAGGAGTTTCGGAACGTGAATGGAACCAAGGGCGTCTTTAGCATTTTAGAGGCCTTAGACAGATATATTTACTATGCACAAATCATATTTAAAATGAAATTGTAGAAATTGAAGTGAATTGCAGAGAGGAAGAGAAGGGGAAGAAGTTTTATTGATTCGAAGAAGAAGAAAAGAAAATCATCTATTAAGTAGGTTAAAGTAGCCTATTTATACTAAAGGGCTAACAGGCTAAAAATATAACAATCCAATACAGTTTAGAAGCCCAATAAGAATAAGTCCAAATAATTATTCTTGAGACGCCCCCTCAAGATGAGCATGAATGTCCAGCATGTTCATCTTGTCTGCAAACTGCTTGAAGAGAGGATTTCCAAGTGGTTTTGTGTAGATATCTGCAAGTTGATAAATATTAGGTATATGAGTAAGATTTATGAGTCCAGAACTAATCTTTTCTCTTATTAAATGACAATCCAGTTCTATGTGTTTAGTTCTTTGATGTTGTACTGGATTATATGCTAAATGATATGTAGATTTGTTATCAGTATATAATGTAATAGGTAAGGAATTCTGAATATGTAAATCCTGAAGAATATAAACAAGCCATTGTGCTTCACAAACTGCATTTGATGCAGCCCAGTATTCTGCTTCAGTAGAGGATCTACTGATAACAGATTGTTTCTTAGATTTCCAAGAAACTAAAGAATCACCAAGATAAAAACAATAACCAGAAATACTTCTCCTAGTATCAACACAAGATCCCCAATCAGAATCAGTATATGTTTGAATATTGAAAGAAGATTTGGAGGAATAAAAAAGTCCTTTACCTAGAGAGCTTTTAAGATATCTAAGGACTCTATGAGCTGCAGCCATATGAATGTCAGTAGGAGAAGATAAAAACTGACTAAGTGTTTGGACAGAATAAGATATATCAGGTCTGGTTACAGTAAGATATAACAATCTGTCAATTAAAGTTCTATAGGTTTTAGGATTGCTTAAAACAGTGCCATCATTTTTTGAGAGTTTAATTTTTGAATCCATAGGTGTAGAAAATGGTTTGGAGGAAAGATACCCAAAATCAGAAAGAATCTCAAGAGTATATTTTCTCTGATTTAAAACAATACCAGTTTTTGATCTAGCAATTTCTATTCCCAAAATATATTTCAATTCACCAAGGTCTTTAATAGTAAATTTATGATGTAGAAAAGATTTAACAGCATTAATTTCATTTATATCATTTCCAGCAAGAATAAGATCATCCACATAAAGTAATATTGCAGTAAAAGATGTTTTACTAACTTTAGTGAAAAGAGAGAAATCTGTCTGAGATTGATTATAACCAAAAGATTTTAAAGATTCAGAAAGTTTAAAATACCATTGTCTAGATGCTTGTTTGAAACCATATATGTCACGCCCCGGACCTAGCCGGACACGTCAACAACCCGTCGTACAGTACGAATAGTCAACCGCAGTCCAACTCATCCATACTATACAAGGCGTCATGAATATCATTCACACATAGTACATCCATAAACAAACATAATGTAAAACATGCATTTAAAACAGCGGAAGCATTAATACAATTGTTCAAGCCACACTTGGCATAACTAGGCATGCAAGCCCCCAAAGTAATTATTCAGAAAATATTATCCATGAGCATTAATGTAATTGTTTTTAAAACAGAACGGGAGAAGCACGAACCACGTCTTCTTCCCTTGATTCCTCCCGAAGCAACGGGCAATGGCAGCGACCTTCAAGTTCTACCTGAAACTGTGAGGTGGCCTCCCCCGTGAAGGGGAGGTCAGTACTTGGAAATATTTGACAAGTACAATAGCAACTATACTAAGTATAATCAACGTTTTAATTTCCAAGACCCTCAACTTAGGGTACTATTATATTATAGGCCATAACCCTCGATCACCCCTCTTTCTTTTAACTGTACTTACTTTACATAAAGTCAAGTAGTCGGCCCGTAGGCCCATACTCATTTAGAATTCATCTTTTCCATTCCCCCGTGACCGCGAGTCACGATAACCCCGTGGGGTCCCATCGAGCCCCAATTGTATAGCATGGGCTCGGCCCAACTACATCTCTATACAATCCTCTAGCTCAATATATCATATCAAAATTTGTATGGCAAGGGCTCGGCCCAACTACGTTTCCATACCAACCATAACTTCGTGGCAAGGGCTCGGCCCAACTACGTTTCCACGGAGGTCACATATACATGGCAAGGGCTCGGCCCAACTACGTTTCCATGCTAATCATATTACATGGCATGGGCTCGGCCCAACTACATCTCCATGTCATCCTAGAGTCCAACTCTAATTATTCTCATAATCAAATTCTCAAGCAAGTCATATGCCTAGAATCAATTCCCGTAGGTGGCCTTTAGGCCTACCCCTATCACACCTTAGTGTTCATACCATTCATCCTTAAGTATCTCTTGAGACTACTTAAGGCATATCTATTCACAATCCTACCTCTTAGGATTTGTTTCATCATTTATTTATATTAATTCCCCAACTAGTATTTTGATACTAATTGGATAACCTTAGAACATGCCAAGTTCCTATTTCCCAATTTGCATTTCATTTCCATTGATTTCTCAACCCAAGTATAGTTTAATCTCAATATCAAAAATATCACTTTAATCCATTCATGAATTTCATACATGAAGTAAAGTATATTTTATCACAATGTCATCATAGTAATTCCATTAACAAGTCGTTCCATTCATTTCACATAATCATACACAATTATTCTAAATTTGTATATCATGCTTCACTTACTCATATCCATATTATTTTCATTTAGGCATTATTAATCATTAATAATCCATGAAAATCCCATCTAATTACTTTAGGCATTCTTATGAAATTAACTCACTAATTATAAGCAATATAGTCAGTCATCCTCACCTCGTGATGTGCTACAATAGTTGCCTTTGTTACGCCCCTCGATCAATCCCCGTTCTAGGCCGATTGAAAGGCAAAGCTGGACTGCCTGGGCAAAAGCCGGGCGGATTTCACGAAAGCCGGGCGGCTTTCGTGTTCTGCAGAAAACGGGCAGCTCCCTTAAAGTGGCGGTTTCCGACGATTTCGACCCCTATCGATTCACCAACTCTTCTCAGTTAAATATCACCACTTTATATCAATATTCTACACTTTTAAACGTGTAGAACATCATGTTTAATCCACCATATGATTTCTCAAAAAAATCATACACAAAAACTAGTTACAAGAACTATTTGAGTTCTCACCTTAATTCCTAGCCTTTTTGGGTTGGATTTCCTTTGCTCCTTGCTTCCTTCAAGCTATGAGCTTTGTGAGGATCTTCTCCTGAGCTCCTTTCCTTTCCTTGGTCGTATGATTGAGGGTGAGAAATGATAGGAGACAACTCTCCTCAATCAAATGGGGAGTTATTGTGTAGGACATGGGATTTGGCCTCCATCCATCCCCTCTACCCATAGTCCGAACCCAGCCCCCCTTCCTTGTCTCTTCCAGCTCCCATTCAGTCAATTGGAGCAAAAAAAAACGTGGGGTGGCTCCCACTTTGGTGGGAGGTCATCCCGTTATGTCCCGGTGTGTCCAATCGGCCCCGAAAGTTGTATTTTTCGGACTACTTTAGTCATATTTTATTTTATCGGGCCGGATAAAATATACCACGCGTTCCCAACAATGTTTGGGCCTTTAGAAACTATGTACATTCCCCAACATTAATTTAGGAGTCCCCGAAACTCATTTCGGGCTGTTATCCGCTAAATCACCAATACCGGTAATTGGGCCCCGTTTGACCAACCGGTCAACTTCATGCCTTTCTTATGGCCCAAATAAAATATCCACCACCATATATATATTATCTAGACCAAGATGAATATAATATGTGGTTCGGGAATTATCGGGCGGTCCCCGTTCCCGCTGTGGGCCCCACATGCAATTTACTATTCACGTAAAAGAAATAATAAAAATTTACAATTACGCAAATTCATAAATCATCTTTCAAGGTTTATTACATAATTTACTAAAAGTAAATATGCCCGGGGTCGGTGTTACAAGTTCACCCCCTCTTAACGGGAATTTCGTCCCCGAAATTCACAATCGATTATTCAAACAGAAATGCATACTGCTCCTTCATCGAGGCTTCAGTCTCCCAAGTTTCTTCTTCAACTCGGTCACTTTTCCAAAGGATTTTAACCATTGGAACTTTCTTGCTTCTTAGCTTCTTTACTTGTCTATCAAGTATCCTTACCGGTTGCACGGCGTAGTTCAAGTCTTCCCGTATTTCCACGGGTGGTTTCTCTAGTACATGAGATGGATCCAGAATATACTTCTTAAGCATACACACATGGAATACATTATGTATTTTTTCCAATTCCGGAGTCAACTGTAATCGGTATGCTACGGCCCCAATTCTCTCAAGAATTACAAATGGCCCTATGTAGCGTGGGTTGAGTTTCCCTCGGCTCTGAAATCGGATGATTCCTTTCCAAGGTGAAACTTTCAAAAATACCTCATCCCCAACCTTAAACTCTAAGGCTCTTCGGCGCTTATCGGCATAGCTCTTCTGTCTATCCTGTGCCGCCTTAAGTCTGTCACGAATCGTCTTTACCTTTGACTTGGTGATTTCCACCAGTTCCGTGCTCTCGAGTTTGGCCATGCCAACCTCATCCCAACACAAAGGTGTACGACATCTCCTCCCATACAATGCCTCGTATGGAGGCATGCCTATACTCGCCTGATAACTGTTGTTATAGGCAAACTCCACAAGTGCCAAATGGTTGTCCCAACTCCCTTGGAACTCCAATGCACAAGCTCTCAGCATATCCTCTAATATCTGTATAACCCGCTCGGATTGTCCATCCGTTTGCGGATGGAAAGCTGTACTGAATTTCAGTTTTGTCCCCATAGATTCTTGGAACTTCGGCCAAAATCGTGATGTGAATCGCGGATCTCTAACGGATACAATGGTTATAGGAACCCCATGCAGCCTCACGATCTCATCCACATACAACTTGGCTAACCTTTCCAGTGCATAGGTGGTGTTGATAGGTAAAAAGTGTGCACTCTTCGTGAGCCTATCAACCACAACCCATACGGCGTCATAATTCTTAATCGTCCGTGGCAGCCCTACCACGAAATCCATAGTCACGTGTTCCCATTTCCATTCAGGAATGGATAATGGTTGTAACAACCCAGCTGGATGCTGATGTTCTGCCTTAACTTGCTGACAAGTAAGACACCTACTGATGTACTCGGCTATTTCCCTCTTCATACCCGACCACCAGTAGCTTTCCTTCAAATCACGATACATCTTCGTGCCTCCCGGGTGCATGGCATACGCCGATGAATGAGTCTCCTCTAAGATGGACTTTCGGAGCTCATCATCCAACGGTACACACACTCGGTCACGAAACAATAAGAGACCATCGTCTCTTTCCCTGAAATCCTCAACCGGTCCCGCTAGCATGCGTTCTCGGACCTTCATGAGCTCCTCATCAGCTTCTTGACCCTTCTTGATCTCATCAAGTAGTGTAGGTCTCACCTCGAATCTAGCTAACAAAGCACCGTCACTAGATACCTCCAATCGGGCTCTCAATGCCCTCAAACTCGTCAACAATGCCCCAGACGAACACCACCGGGGTGTTCGCTACCACATTGGCTTTACCGGGGTGGTACTCGATAACTAGATGGTAGTCTTTTATCAACTCCATCCACCGTCTCTGTCTCATGTTTAACTCTTTCTGAGTAAACACGTATTTCAGGCTTTTGTGGTCAATGTATATATGACATGTTTCCCCGTAGAGATAATGTCTCCAAATCTTCAATGCGAACACCACCGCCCCCAGCTCTAAGTCATGAGTGGGATAATTTACCTCATGCTTCTTCAACTGTCGTGAAGCATAGGCAATCACCCTCCCATTCTGCATCAAGACACACCCAAGCCCTTGGATGCTTGCGTCGCTGTAGACATCGTACCCCACACCCTGTTTGGGTAGTGCGAGTACCGGTGCCTCGGTCAATCTCTTCTTCAGTTCAAGGAATCCCTTCTCACATCGGTCATCCCATACAAACTTGGCCCCCTTTTGAGTGAGCTTTGTCAATGGCGATGCCAAAACTGAGAATCTCTCCACAAATTTTCGGTAGTACCCCGCCAATCCAAGGAAGCTACGAATTTCCTTGACGTTCTTTGGCCTCTCCCATTCAGTAATGGCCTCAATCTTCTTGTTATCTACGGCAATCCCTGATCCTGAAACCACATGCCCGAGAAAACCAATCTCCCTTAGCCAAAATTCACATTTGGAAAACTTGGCATAGAGTTGCTTCTCCCGTAGTGTCTCAAGAACAAGTATCAAGTGTTCTTCATGCTCTTCTTCACTCTTCGAGTAAATCAAGATATCATCTATGAACACAATCACAAACCGGTCCAAGTATATATGAAATACTCGGTTCATCAAGTCCATAAATGCTGCCGGGGCGTTGGTTAGCCCGAATGACATAACTAGGAACTAGAAATGACCATACCTTGTGCGGAATGCACTCTTCGGTATGTCATCCTCCTTTATCTTCAGTTGGTGGTACCCCGACCTCAAGTCAATCTTCGAAAACACCGTCGCTCCTCGGAGCTGATCAAACAAGTCATCAATCCTAGGCAAGGGATACCTATTCTTGATTGTGACCTTGTTCAGTTGACGATAGTCAATGCACATTCGAAGTGTTCCATCTTTCTTTTTCACGAAAAGGACCAGTGCTCCCCACGGAGAGTGACTCGGCCTTATGAAACCGTTATCCAATAGCTCTTGCAATTGGGTTTTCAACTCGTTAAGTTCAGCGAGTGCCATTCTGTATGGCGGTATAGAGATTGGTTTGGTGCCGGGTTCAACCTCGATCACGAACTCAATCTCCCTATCGGGTGGAAGTCCCGGCAAGTCTTTTGGGAAGACGTCCGGATACTTGCACACTACTCTCACATCATTGATGTCTATCTCTTCTTTGGTTTTATCCAGCACATACGCTAGGTATGCGTGGCATCCCTTTCTCATCATATTCCTCGCCCTCACGGCGGATATGATACAACTGTTTGATTTGCCTCTATCTCCCTCGAAGCGTAAGGTCAACCCTTCACCGCCTTCGAGTTCAAGAATCTTCGTGTACCAATCGACCCTAGCATGATGTTTCTCAAGCCAATCCATCCTGAGGATTGCATCAAACTCGATCATACTCAGCGGTACGAAATCACACGTCAAGTTTTGTCCCTCCACCTCCACCTCACACGATGGATAGTGGCTATCTCTCTCGATATCATCCCCTAGAGGCGTGGACACCAATAGGGTTTGAGTCATCGGTACAAGTGGTCCGTTGAATCCGCTGGCGAACGCCTCACTCACAAATGATCGTTGCGCCCCGGTATCAATAAGGATCCTTGCGTCTCTCCCGTTTATCTTTAGTGTTCCTACATTCATAAGTAATGTATAACACACTATCTAATTAATAGGCTTGTTTCTTAAGTCGTAGAGTATGTTGGTCGCGGTTCGGGTGGGGTCCGTTTGACACCCGTCCGAAAATTCCCCGGTTTCTAAGCTTTAGAACCGCTCTAGGACGAACCCAGGTGAAAGCCGGCCGCTTTTCACGAAAGCCGGCCGGTTTTCGTCTGCGAGAAAAAATTCTCATATGAAAATCACGAAAGCCGGGCGGCTTTCACGAAAGTCGGCCGGTTTTCGTCGCCGCAGTTTTGTTCAGGAAATGGTCTCAAAGCTGGCCGGTTTCTACGAAACCCGGCCGGGTTTCAGCAGCGCAGAAATCCCCAGGCCCAACGAAAGCCGGGCGGCTTTCGCCAAAGCCGGGCGACTTTCAGCTGCGAGAAATTTCCCCAGGTCAGGCATTTATGAAAGCCGGCCGGTCTTTACAAAAGCCGGCCGGTTTTTGGTTGCGAGGATTTTACAGATTGATTGATGACGAAAGCCGGGCGGCTTTTGGTGGAAACCGGCCGACATTCGTTGCCGCGGCATTTTCCCAATAATTCAAGACGAAAGCCGAGCGGCTTTCGTCAAATGCCGGGCGGCATTCGCCCAGGGCGAGGATTTTTCCTCCCCTTTCCCCTACAATCCCGACCAAACCGTCGGGGTTTCAAATTTTGCACATTCCAAACACTCCTATTGCATACAATAGAGTTAATAACATGAGTTTAAGATTTTACCCGCCACGGAGTCCGGGTTAGCACGTGCGTCCGCCTCCGTCATCGCTTAGACCCTAGCCTGGGTCTTGCCTTGGTTCACGGATGGCGCGTTGCTTGTACTTGGACCTCCGTGCGTCGTGCTCGCGTGAGGTGCGGCCCCTGCTCGGTTCCTACTTGCCGTGGTCCCGCTGCTAGGTCCTGCACCCATGACTCGCCCAAGTTGTGGGCAGTTTGATCTCAAGTGTCCCGCCTCCCCGCATTGGTAACACCTAGGGGGATCGCGACACTTGCCCGTGTGGTTCCTCTTGCAGTTATTGCACCTGCTAATGCCCGAGCCTTGCGACCTCGAGCCTTGCCCCCCTGGGCCTTGGTTTCCCCTGGATGGTGGTGCGGGCGTTCTGAAAGACCCACCTCCCCCGTGGTTCCCCTTCTTGCTAGAACCTTGGGGGCCAGTGTTCTCCCATTTCCTCTTCTTCGCCTCCTCGGCGTTTTTCAGCTTTCTTTCTTCCCATTCCTTCTCCCCTTTCAGGCCTTGCTCCACCACTTGACTAAACGTCATGTTAGGCAATTGTGTTGCCCGTTCACGCACGTCTAAGTCTAAAGCATCTCAAAAGTGATTCACCATCCGGTTCTCATCACAAGCATACTCCGGTATGAACTCCGCGAGCTCCCTGAACTTGTGCTCAAGTTGCCTCACGGTATACTTGCCTCCTTGGGTCAAGTTGGTGTATTCTCTCCTCTTCAAGTTCACCTCGAAGTCGGAGTAGTATTGGTTGAAGAATTCCTGTCGGAAATTCTCCCAAGTTACGGCCTCACCGTACTTCCCCTTGACACCGTCCCACCATGTGGACGCCATCCCCTCTAGCAATCTTGTTGCTACTCTCATCTTCATGTTTGGCGGCAGCTGCATATCAAGGGCCGCTTCATTGAACCGCTTGATCCACTCCGCCGCAACGGATATATATCTCCCGTTCCATCGAACGGTTTACACCCCAAATCTCTTGCTTCTTTGAGGTACTTCGAGATCCTTATTATCGGGACCTCGACACATCGATCTACTCGGGACTCCACATGTCCCCTAGAACCCGCATGGCTTCCCCTTCTTGAAGCCCCTCCCAAAGCACGCCTTGCATGGCGCCTTTGGCGATTCTGTTGAAATTGACGGAGTAGTTCCTCCATCCTTTCTAGAGCGTCCTCATCGTCGCTCCCCTCACTGTCATCATCATACTCCCCATCATATGGAGTCTCAACCGGCTCAGTTCCCGGTTGATACGTCGAATCCTCATCGGACTCATAGGACTCGTTGACTGTTTCCACATAACTGTCACTCACGGTCTGATCTTGGCCTCCACGGCCCTGTCCTCTGGACACCCTAGAAGCCCCTCTACTGCCTTGCACGGATCCTCCCGGTGCTCGGCCAGTCGGGTTCCTTCTAGTTACTTTCCCGGTATGTTCCATTTCTGAAAGAAATTGAGAATGAGTCATTAGACTCGTATCAAATGTCAATTGACGGATAGGTACTTAAAGACATCCATTGGCTCAAATCACCGCCATACCAATTGCTAAGGGTACCATCTTAACAATTAGAGACATTGCAACTTAAGTACCAAAAGTTCTATAAGTACAAAACCTTATGCTCATGGTTTTCAAATTCATTTTCAAAAGAAATTTTGAAGCTTCATTATGATGTTTACGGACTAAGGTTCTGATACCAATTAAATTGTCACGCCCCGGACCTAGCCGGACACGTCAACAACCCGCCGTACAGTACGAATAGTCAACCGCAGTCCAACTCATCCATACTATACAAGGCATCATGAATATCATTCACACATAGTACATCCATAAACAAACATAATGTAAAACATGCATTTAAAACAGCGGAAGCATTAATACAATTGTTCAAGCCACACTTGGCATAACTAGGCATGCAAGCCCCAAAAGTAATTATTCAGAAAATATTATCCATGAGCATTAATGTAATTGTTTTTAAAACAGAACGGGAGAAGCACGAATCACGTCTTCTTCCCTTGATTCCTCCCGAAGCAACGGGCAATGGCAGCGACCTTCAAGTTCTACCTGAAACTGTGAGGTGGCCTCCCCCGTGAAGGGGAGGTCAGTACTTGGAAATATTTGACAAGTACAATAGCAACTATACTAAGTATAATACAAGTTTTAATTTCCAAGACCCTCAACTTAGGGTACTATTATATTATAGGCCATAACCCTCGGTTACCCCTCTTTCTTTTAACTGTACTTACTTTACATAAAGTCAAGTAGTCGGCCCGTAGGCCCATACTCATTTAGAATTCATCTTTTCCATTCCCCCGTGACCGCGAGTCACGATAACCCCGTGGGGTCCCATCGAGCCCCAATTGTATAGCATGGGCTCGGCCCAACTACATCTCTATACAATCCTCTAGCTCAATATATCATATCAAAATTTGTATGGCAAGGGCTCGGCCCAACTACGTTTCCATACCAACCATAACTTCGTGGCAAGGGCTCGGCCCAACTACGTTTCCACGGAGGTCACATATACATGGCAAGGACTCGGCCCAACTACGTTTCCATGCTAATCATATTACATGGCATGGGCTCGGCCCAACTACATCTCCATGTCATCCTAGAGTCCAACTCTAATTATTCTCATAATCAAATTCTCAAGCAAGTCATATGCCTAGAATCAATTCCCGTAGGTGGCCTTTAGGCCTACCCCTATCACACCTTAGTGTTCATACCATTCATCCTTAAGTATCTCTTGAGACTACTTAAGGCATATCTATTCACAATCCTACCTCTTAGGATTTGTTTCATCATTTATTTATATTAATTCCCCGACTAGTATTTTGATACTAATTGGATAACCTTAGAACATGCCAAGTTCCTATTTCCCAATTTGCATTTCATTTCCATTGATTTTTCAACCCAAGTATAGTTTAATCTCAATATCAAAAATATCACTTTAATCCATTCATGAATTTCATACATGAAGTAAAGTATATTTTATCACAATGTCATCATAGTAATTCCATTAACAAGTCGTTCCATTCATTTCACATAATCATACACAATTATTCTAAATTTGTATATCATGCTTCACTTACTCATATCCATATTATTTTCATTTAGGCATTATTAATCATTAATAATCCATGAAAATCCCATCTAATTACTTTAGGCATTCTTATGAAATTAACTCACTAATTATAAGCAATATAGTCAGTCATCCTCACCTCGTGATGTGCTACAATAGTTGCCTTTGTTACGCCCCTCGATCAATCCCCGTTCTAGGCCGATTGAAAGGCAAAGCTGGACTGCCTGGGCAAAAGCCGGGCGGATTTCACGAAAGCCGGGCGGCTTTCGTGTTCTGCAGAAAACGGGCAGCTCCCTTAAAGTGGCGGTTTCCGACGATTTCGACCCCTATCGATTCACCAACTCTTCTCAGTTAAATATCACCACTTTATATCAATATTATACACTTTTAAAAGTGTAGAACATCATGTTTAATCCACCATATGATTTCTCAAAAAAAATCATACACAAAAACTAGTTACAAGAACTATTTGAGTTCTCACCTTAATTCCTAGCCTTTTTGGGTTGGATTTCCTTTGCTCCTTGCTTCCTTCAAGCTATGAGCTTTGTGAGGGTCTTCTCCTGAGCTCCTTTCCTTGCCTTGGTCGTATGATTGAGGGTGAGAAATGATAGGAGACAACTCTCCTCAATCAAATGGGGAGTTATTGTATAGGACATGGGATTTGGCCTCCATCCATCCCCTCTACCCATAGTCCGAACCCAGCCCCCCTTCTTTGTCTCTTCCAGCTCCCATTCAGTCAATTGGAGCAAACAAAAACGTGGGGTGGCTCCCACTTTGGTGGGAGGTCATCCCGTTATGTCCCGGTGTGTCCAATCGGCCCCGAAAGTTGTATTTTTCGGACTACTTTAGTCATATTTTATTTTATCGGGCCGGATAAAATATACCACGCGTTCCCAACAATGTTTGGGCCTTTAGAAACGATGTACATTCCCCAACATTAATTTAGGAGTCCCCGAAACTCATTTCGGGCTGTTATCCGCTAAATCACCAATACCGGTAATTGGGCCCCGTTTGACCAACCGGTCAACTCCATGCCTTTCTTATGGCCCAAATAAAATATCCACCACCATATATATATTATCTAGACCAAGATGAATATAATATGTGGTTCGGGAATTATCGGGCGGTCCCCGTTCCCGCTGTGGGCCCCACATGCAATTTACTATTCACGTAAAAGAAATAATAAAAATTTACAATTACGCAAATTCATAAATCATCTTTCAAGGTTTATTACATAATTTACTAAAAGTAAATATGCTCAGGGTCGGTGTTACAATATAAGCTTTTAAGAAGTTTACAAACTCTAGTATCATTAGTTTCTAAATAACCAGGAGGGGGTTGCATATAAATGTTTTCATTCAAATCACCATGTAAAAAAGCATTATTTACATCTAATTGATGTAAGTACCAATTTTTAGAACTGGCAATAGCTAAAAGAATTCTTACAGTGGTTAACTTTACAACTGGAGAGAAAGTATCAAAGTAATCAAGGCCTTCTTCTTGAGTGTAACCTTTGGCTACCAGTCTAGCTTTATATCTATCAAGAGAACCATCAGATTTAAGTTTTGTTTTAAAAACTCATTTGCAACCAATAGTATGTTGATTAGCAGGAAGATCAACAAGAACCCAAGTATTATTATTTTCAAGGACTTTAATTTCATCATTCATAGCATTTTTCCATTCTGTAAATTTTACAGCTTGTTTGTAAGATTTTGGTTCTGGAATCTTAGAAAGAGATGCAATAAAACAGTGATGAGAAATATTTAATTTGTTATAAGTAATGTAATTTTGAATAGGATATCTAACCAATTTACAAGAAGAATTAGGATTACCTGGAATGATAGAATTAGGAAGATCATGAGCAAAATCTCTTAAATGAATAGGAATGGATCTTACTCTAGTAGATTTCCTTTGAGTATTTTGTTCAGACATACTGTCATGAACCTGAGAACTTTCTGTGTTCAACAAACTAGAATAATCATTAGCAATAGAGTTATTATCATCAGAATTAAACAAATTTACCTCCTCATTGATTTGAGTGTCCAAGTAATTTGTGATATTATTATTAGAATCATTTGCATTTTGAGTAAGTGAATTAGTGAGATTGTTTAAATAGTCATTAAAAATATTATTATTTTGTGTATTTGTGAAATCAGAATCCAAATTATTTTTAGTATGTTGAGTCTTGTATGGAAAAATCATTTCATAGAACTTAACATTTCTATAAATAAAAGTTTTATGAGTAGTTAAATCATATAATTTGTATCCTTTAGAACCTAAAGAATATCCAATAAAGATGCATTTATGTGCCCTAGAATCAAACTTAGTTCTATTAGAAGAAATAGTTGAAGCAAAAGCCAAACAACCAAAAACCTTTAAATGATTATAATCTGGAGCATGATTATAAAGCATTTCAAAAGGAGATTTGTTATGAAGAATAGAAGTGGGTAATCTGTTGATTATATGCACATCAGTAAGTATACAATCAGACCAAAAAGTTATAGGAAAACAAGATTGAAAAAGAAGAGATCTAGCAATTTGTAAAATGTGTTGATGTTTTCTTTCAACCCTACCATTTTGTTGAGGGGTTTCAACACAGGACAGTTGATGAACAATACCTTTTGAATTATAGAAATCAGGAAAGAAGAATTCAGTACCATTATCAGTTCTTATGATCTTAATTTTCTTTTGAAATTGAGTTTCAATAAAAGTATAGAAATTCAACATATGAAATTTTACCTCAGATTTAGTTTTAAGTAGAAAAACCCAAGTACATCTAGTGTAATCATCAACAATAGTTAAAAAATATTTAAAACCAGTATAAGAAGTAACTTTATAAGGACCCCAAACATCCATATGTATCAAATCAAAAGCATTAGAAGCATGAGAAGTACTGATAGGAAAAGGAAGCTTTTTTTGTTTAGCAAAATGGCAAATATCACAAGGTAAAGATTGTTTGTCATTATCAGAAACATTACAGTCAGAAAGCATGTAAATTTCATTAAAAGGCAGATGCCCTAGTCTAAAATGCCAAAGAGTAGCAGATGAAGTATGATGCTGACTATTTGCAGAATGCACAGTTGGAGTATGATGAGCTAAAGATGAGTCTGGAGTATAGTGGTATAGGCCATTCCTTAAATCAGCAAAGTCAATCGTTTTGCTGGTAAGGTGGTCCTGCAAGATAGCATGGTTAGAAGAGAAATATACTGAGATATTATCATGAGAGGTTAAACTGGAAATAGAGATGAGATTGAAAGTAAAGTTAGGAACATATAAAACATTGTGTAATGTAAGATTGGAATTCAATTTGATATCACCAATTTTAGTAGCAGAAATAAAATTGCCAGTAGGAAGTTGAATTTTAATTGAAATGTGTTTAGTTGGAGTGGTATATAATGAAGCATCATAAACCATATGGTCAGATGCTCCAGTGTCAAGAATCCATTGAGAAGATTGAAAAGTTGAAAGAGCAAAGTGTTTACCTAAAAATTTTGTGTCACAGTAAGAAGCAGTTTGATCATCATCAGGAGCAATGGTGACAACATTAGCTGAAGCAGTTTTAGATTGTTGAGCTTGAACAAATTGCAGAAACTTCTCATACAGATTGGGATCACAGAAATCAGTGGTAGCAGAAATTGGATTGATAGAAGTAGGAGCAGATTCAGTGTAATTTGTAACCAAAGGAGCATGATGATTGTTGTTTGAATTGGTAGGAGTTATAGCAGGTTCAGTGGAATTAGTGGCCAAATGAGCATGATGATTTTTATTTAGATTGGGATTTGGTTTAAAACCAGGAGCAGTTCTCTGTCCTTTTGGCCCTTTCCGGTTACTAGGATAACCAATGAGTTGGAAGCATTTATCAGAAGAATGGCCTTGATAGCCACAGTGAGTACAGGTAATAGAACTTTTCTTTTTAAAATTTTTGACAAAGAAAGCAGTAGCATCATTGTTGAGCTTTTCAGAAGCAGAAGGTTCTGAAAAAGAAGTAGTGAAAGGAAGAGTTTTCTGAAGAGATCTTTGAGATTCTTCTTGAAGAAGAATAGAGTAGATACTAGACAGAGTAGTTTTTTCTGTGTTAAGAAGAATTTGGCTTCTCAGATTAGAATAAGAATCATTCAAACCAACAAGAAACCTAAGAATAGACTCTTTCTGGATAATTTTTTGATAGGTTTCAGATATATTGCAAGTGCACTGACCACAAGTACAAGAAGGAATAATTCTGAAATTACAGTATTCATCCCAAATTTCTTTGAAACAGTTGTAGTAATCAGTTATACTACGAGAACCTTGACAAAGATTTCCTAGGGTTTTTTCAAGATGAAAAAGTCTAGGACCATCAATTTTTCCATACCTAAGCTGAACCTCATCCCAAAGCTCTTTAGCATCAGTAAAAGATAAGAAAGTAGTGCGAAGAGCAGGTGAAATAGAATAAATCAGCCAAGATAAGAGGAGAGCGTTGATACGATACCAGTTGATGTACATAGGATTATCTGGACTTGGTTTTGTGATTGAACCGTCGAGAAATCACATCTTGTTCTTCACCGCCATAGCCATGGAAACAAATTTCTTCCATGCACCAAAGTTGTCGCCTGTGAGTGTTTCGTAAATGACTCGAAGCCCAGCGTGATCGCTAGGATGAAGATAATACGGAGATGAGGAGTCTTCCGTCGGATTTAGCGGTGAAGCCATAGCAGTTAGGGTTTTGCAGATGATTGAATAAAAAAACGATTAGGAAGAGATCGATTATAGAAATCGATTAAGAAGGATGAAATCGATTGTGAGGAATCGATTAGAGAAGACAATTGAATCAGGATCGATCAAGTAGACCTTAGTCTGATACCATGTAGAATTTGAAGTGAATTGCAGAGAGGAAGAGAAGCGGAAGAAGTTTTATTGATTCGAAGAAGAAGAAAAGAAAATCATCTATTACAGTAGGTTAAAGTAGCCTATTTATACTAAAGGACTAACAGGCTAAAAATATAACAGTCCAATACAGTTTAGAAGCCCAATAAGAATAAGCCCAAATAATTATTCTTGAGAGAAATAAATTGAATAAAAACACCATATGATAAAAAAAGCATTTTCAAAGTGCACCATATAATGTGGATGTCAAAATGATGTTTTTTAAGTACAAGCATATGTAAAAACACCGCAAACTTTTACCGCTCTTGGCTCTTACTTTGACACACCCTATTGGTCTATTTTTCTTCCCTTTAAGAAGTGCAACATCACTAAGAACATCACTACAACAAAAACTAAAACTTGCCAATACAATTATTTGTGACAATGACAAATCAAACAACCAATCCATCAAATTAACACAAGCCAAAATTATTTCATGTATTTATCATCGAATTCAAACAATACGACAATATCAATATGGTAATATAACCAACATTATTAATTATATATATTAACCCAATAATTTTTTAATTATAATAATTAATTAATAATCATAAGTTAAGTATTTAAATTTATACGGTTACACCTTCACTTCAATCACTAGTACGTAGTATTTGCTAGTACTCTGCATACATTAGCTATTCAAGAATTTACCTCAAATAGTCAAATCACAAAAAGTAAAAATGCTTAACCATTACTCCGTATTTTTGTATTCCATCGCAGAATAGCAGGCTGCTTTATTGCTTCTGTTCAATCAAATAAGACGACACAGAGAAAGAGAGTAATATAGAGTAAGAGATTAATGGAAGATGAGAAGTCTGAGAACTAGACTCACACACTCAAGTCGGCGACGGATGGCACGTCATTCAATCGATGGACGAAAAGAAGGTGAGAAGGCCGTCTATGGTTGAATGACGATTGAGAACGGTGGTTGGGATTTGGGGATCGCGGAATAGGGATTTGCAGCAAATCAATTGCCGATTTGCAGGTTTAATATGCTTAATTCCGTTGCTTGCTGAAAATTGGACCAAGTGTATTTGCCGGTTTCGATAATTGGATCACACATGCGGAGTATCACATATTACTAATACCAATACCCAGTACTCGTAATTTTTTTGAAGCCCCTTAGGCATGCGAGGCCCTAGGCAGCCGCCTGGCCAAACTGGCCCCAAATCCGCAACTGAGTGGAACGCAAGGGCGGTAGGGTGCGGCTTGGATTTTTGTGGGCGAAGAAACACAAGGCAACATGATATAGTTTTCTTTCACACCTCGGGCATCGATTCCAATGGCAAATCTCAAGGAGCAAATTAGGAGCAAATTAGTGAGCCCAAAATAGGGTTTCAGACGAATTTTTCGGGGGTTGAAATTCTTTTCTATCATACTACTACACTCTACAGCAGCTCGCCCTACTCCGGAATCACCTCCGTGTGAGGAAGCAATTTGGGGAAATTTTTTATTTTCGTATTATTTTTCTCTTCGTAGTACTTATTTTTATTTCAGTTCGAGCAGATATGGTTGAAGTGTTTTGATTTTTGAAGAACTTTTGATAGACAATGCTTCATTTTCGGTCATTTTAGGCTTCATCTTGCCCGTTTTGTATCTAACGAGTCAGGTTGCTTTGTATGAGTGGCTGACTCTAAGTCTATTCCTAGGGCTTACGATCGGATTTGTAATTGGTGTCTCGATTTTGTCTTGCATGTTTGCTCTATATTAATGAAAAGCCGTTTTGATGATAAAAAAATCAATAAGGATAAATTTGCTCCTTCAATAGAACATGAGGGGTATTTTTGTACTTTTTAAAAGTTCATGAGTATATATGCACTTGAACATATACTTCATGGGTATATTTGTTCCGAAAAATAGGACAAGAGTATATTTGTTCTCACACTCATACTACATGGATATATGTCTACCTTTTCCCACATATGAATAATGGATATCTATCATATACTACTAAAAACTAGCCGTTAGACACGAGTACTGATAAGCACAATAATTACTTATGTTTTACATGGGTAATTATATTTATCTGTATAAAAATATGAAGTCAAAATAGGTAAACATTCCAAAGTGAACAAAAATGGGAAATCAGCTAGGAGCGAGATATATGGTGTCAAAAGTCAAAAGAGATCGAAAACCGACACTTCTGGATCAACCGCAGCCGCCAAAAAAAAGAATAAAAAATTGTACATGGTGAATCGCAGCAACCGGCGCCGGTCAGGCCACAACCGACGCCGATCGGATGGCTTTTGTGAATGAAAGTAGCATGTAATGCATCGACACCGGTCATTTTACATAACCGATGAAAAAATATGTCTAACCAGCGTCGATTTCCCCGTTTACTCGTGAAGAACAACAAAACATGTGCCAGTTCATCCTCCATTAGGGTGGAGAGCCCCCCTTTCCCTTTTGCCTATAAATAGGAGGTTTTCCCTCCTAATGAAGGATCCTTTTCTTCTTCGTCCTTCTCTCTAGACTAGTTCAATACTCCATTAATGGGAGCTCAAATTGTACATTGTAATGGTGAGGAGAGTCTAATGAGAATGAGTGGGTTTGGACATTAACGTAAAAAGTCATGTGGTTTTCTCCCTTTCGGGTTTCCACATAAAAACAGAACATTCATACCAAATTATATCTATATTTATTATATCGTGTTGAATTAAATTGGGAAAAGGTGCAAATAAGCCATCGAACTAACCGAAAAAGTGCAAATCACTACTTTTATAGGAGACTCTGTCCGGCCGTCGCCATTTGGAGCGGTTACCGATGGAATTTTTTGATAAATTTGTTAGAGCATATTCGTCATTAAGTATAGTTTACTTTACCTATACCGAATTTCAGCTAAAACATCAACCGAAAAGACAGTCAAATGATTTTCTGAAATATACTACGCTGTTTAACTGCGCTGTTATCTTCAAACATTTATTTGACTACCTTCCGGATTGATTTTTAACTGAAATTTGGTATGAGTAAACTAGACTTAATGAAGAAGATGTTCAAAAAAATTCATCCAAAACTTCCACTAGGAACCGCCCCAAATGGTGACGTCCGGACAGAGCTTCCTATAAAAGGGGTGATTTGCACTTTTTCGGTTAGTTCGAGGGCTTATATATCCCTTTTCCCTTTTAAAATTGATCTGTACGGAGTAATATTTTATGGAGTATTTTATTCTTAAAAGTCATAGTTTTGCAAACATTAATACAAGAAGTGAATTAGTGAAAGTATATAGTTTTCACATTGTTGAGAAAATGCCACAATGTCATATAAATGTCACAATACTAAATCAAATTTTCAAAATTCTAACAAACAACGTCACGATGACTTAATTTCGTATACTGAGTACTAAACAGTTGCAAAATGTGACAAGTTTTGAAACTAACAATAGTAATGTCAAAATGTGATTAGCAATAGTAATTAAATATAATTAAAATGAAAGAAAATATTCAATAACAATACAATGTGACATTGTTGGAAGAATGACATAATGTCATATATATGAATGTCTACAAATACCTCCCGCACGGGTAATTCGGTTGGTTCAATGGTGAGAAATTTGGAACAATGATCAAAGTTCGAAACCTGCATGCTGGGCTGGACCTCTGGTCGGTGCATGCACATGGGTATAAGGCACACCGTCATTGAGCCGACTGTGACACCGTGACTTACATCATCCCAAAAGTTTTGTCGGGTCGGGGCATGGGGGCCCTTGGGGTTGGGGATTCAACCTTTTGGAACGATGTCTACAAATACCTAGTACTAAATCAAACAAGCAGTTTGATATACTCCATTTGTCTCATTGGACTTTGTCTACTTTCTCTTTTTGGTCGTTCCAAAAAACTGTCACTTTTCCATTAAAATACCTATTTTGTGATTCTGCTCATTTTTATCTCCTTTGCACAAACTTCAATGACACAATTTTTACTATTCTTATTTTTCACCTAATTCAAAGAACACAAAATCCATTGTGACGGAGGTAGTACTAAAATGTTCAAAAATATGACAAAAATTTACACTAACAATAGCAATGTCAAGATGTGATTAACAATCGCAAATGTAATTAAAATGAAAGAAAATATTCAATAACTAACATTACATGTGACATTGTTGAAAGGAGAAAATGTCATACGAACATCACAAATACTAAATCAAACAATGGCACATGTTCACAAAATTCAAACAAATTAAACAATGTCACGGTGAAATAATTTGAGTAAAAAGTTAAAAATGACACAAATTTTGACACTAACAATAGCAATGTCAAATGTGATTAACAATTTGCAAATATAATTAAAATGAAAGCAAATGTTTTATACCAATACACGTGACATTGTTGAAAGAAGGATAAAATGTCATACGTATGTCAATAATACTAAATCAAACAATGACACATGTTCACAATTCAAACAAACAATAATGTCAAAGTGAAATGATTTCATAGAGTAAAAGGTTGAAATACGATAGTATGTGACAAATTTTGCAACTAACAATAGCAATTAAAATGAAAGCTAATATTCAATATTAATACTTAGGCCCCGTTTACGTACTTACGACCTAATGGGTTTAATGGATTTCATTTGCGACTTAACTTATAAGTACACTTATTCGGTCAAACGTTTTTTGACTTAACTATTCAGCTTGATTTTGAAGCTCCTTACCGCTCAAACACTTGTATACAGAGTATATAGGTATGTTTGGTATAAGTAATTAAAAAGATACATATATTAGTTTTTTAGTAACCATTACCTTTTAGTGATTGAAAAGATATTACAAAAACAGATGGTAGTTGTTCGATAAAAAACCGACTGATAAAATTTAATTCTATTTGGTATACAAGTTGTTGAGACTAATTAATGTTAAAAGTTACAAACTTTTTTTTGATACTACTAAGCGCAACAAAGATCTTTTATTTTAAAAAAGCTCTTTAATAGAATTATTAGAGGCATAGTATTGCAATTTACATTAAACTATCTTTAATATAAATATATCTGTCAGGGCTCTTTAGGGAGCAACCTTTCCATTATTCTCACATTGTATCAAGAGCACATTAATTTTTTTCGATCCTCTTTCTCTCTCTACTCGGCACCGCGAGCTAACCCTACAGCCACCGCCCTCCACCCCGCAGCCGCAGCATGACAACTCCCTCTCTGCCATCTTCCGCAGCGCCCACCACCGCCGTCTCGGCATCGTCAGCCGCGGTCAGCAACACCGCAACCACCGGCGCTCCTATCTTCTATGGAACGCTGTCGGTGATCAGTTCAGGCTCTTCCGGTGTGACGTTCTCCTCCAATTTTGCGTCACCAAATCGGGTCTCCGTGCCATCGTCTTTGTTTCAGAATTTCCCGCCTGCTTTTCCTTGGTCTGCGCCTACCCCAGTGCCAGTCGTGCCTCTAGAGCCGCCACCTTTCACGGCCACGACGTTTGCTGGTACCACGTTCGTTGGCTCACCCGACGTTTCCTCCATCGTGCCTCCTCTTCGCACGCCAGTAGGCAGTCCGACCGGTTCTCTCTTGACAGGTCGTGCTCAAACTATCTCACTTGTGGCGACAAACGTCACCAATATTGTGACCACCAAACTTCTAGCGGTGGAAGACTACACTACTTGGCGGACTCAATTTGAATCGTTCCTGGTCTCTCAAGGTCTTCTTGGCAAATGGTTGATGGCTCCATTCAGGTACCTCCTGCTTATTCCATAGATGTTCTTAACCGTCAAACTCCCAATCCCGAATTTTCCACTTGGTTAAGAATTGATCAAACAATCCGTTCATGGTTATTTGCAACCCTATCTCGGGATGTACTTTATCGATGTACGTGATTTAAAACATTCTTGTGAAATTTGGGATCGGTTGGAGTCTCGATTTATGTCTGCCAGTTTAGCGAGGTCTATGGAATTAAAGCGTTTATTCAATCAAATAAAAAAGAAACCTGATCAATCAATGGATAATTATCTGAGAGAAATTAAAACATTGACTGATGATCTGGCAATTATCAATTGCCCTATGACTCCTCGTGAACTATTAAAGACTACTATTATGGGACTGGGACCTGAGTATGAATCTTTATTTACTGTTGTGTCATTATTTGGACAAAATTTCCCGTTTGGAACTCTCTGTAGTCATCTTCTTGAGTTAGAGCAGCGGGTTATTTATCTCCGATCCCAGGAGTCCTCCACCTTCCATCAGGCGTTTGGCGCGACTGTCACCTCTCTCGGACAGTTGTCTGGACAGCAGACGAACAACCAGCAGTCTGGTTCTACGTATCCGGTCGAGCAGAACGCACACCCGGTCGGGCAACAGAGACAGATCGACACTCAGCAGCGAAGAAGAGGCCGTGGTCGTGGGCGAGGCCGCGGCGGCAGGGGGCGCGGTCGTGGACAGCAGCAATCCGCCCCCATATGGCCAGCAACAGGCATATTGGTACCCTCAGGGGCAGTCAGTTTATTTCCCCGGAGGGGGTGGTCAGCCGGGTACACATGCAGGGGGAGTGACATCTACGGGTACTGTTATTTGTAATTCTGTTGTGTCACATTTAAATATTCATGCTTTACCTGTTTGTGTTACTAACGGTAGTTCTGCAGGCTTGCCATCAGATGGGGGTATTCTTGGGTCTGTTCCCCATCCCGTTGTCTCTCAAATTTGCTTTTCTGCAGGACATTCTGCCATCAATTGCTCTTCTCGTTTCACACAACCATCCACCCTGCTTTGTTGACTACTCCAGGTGACACTAC